TCAAGCGATTGCAATTATTCCGAGTTTGCTGCATATTTCTTTTTTGACTCTCCATAAACACACAGTTTATTATCCCGGATGTCATTTTTTTTAATTGCACAAATTTTCTAAGTAGGCAATGCCCTTAATAGCAAAGAGGGGGATAGGGATATAAATGACACAATAACTTCTGGAAGCCATTGGTGAAGGGGAATGAGAATAAAATATTTGGTTACCTTGAATCTGTCACCTGTTGCTTCCACCTGAAACTATGGACGCTTTCTTGTAGAGTTAGAGAAAATAGGCCTATCTCTTCCTTGTGTTTCCTCCCTTCTACTGGCCTACACCCTCTTCCCCTGATTGGGCTAGAGGGAAGGACGAAGGCAAAAACCAACAGGCAGCGAAGCCTGACTGGAAGACATCAGCTGTCCATCCATCTCAGGTTACTTGTTTACATATCACTCCTCTGCTTGAAGTTTACTACCTTGTTTCCAAGGTGATGTGGGTTGCCCAGAAGAGCCTCATATAACCTGGCTGGGTTTGAATCATTCTCTTCTGTAGCCAGAGATGCTCTTTCATGCTACGTTCCTCTGTTTTGCATCTGACTTTCAGATCCCAGTGCAGATTGCAGATCCCAGTGTCTCAGGAGATTATTTTTGCTGCAAGGGAAAGCTCCCTAACTTTTAATGTAGAGGAGGAAAAGGGAATTCACCTGAATCTGCCTTTCTATTTAAAAAAATGGAAAGAGAGAAAATGATGTGGAAGATTAGAATTCAAAAGGAAACGTTTGAACCTAGATACGCCCCGGAAATGTTAGTTTTCCGTCACCGTTATGGAAGGAAAGGTAAGTTCTAGGCAAAGAATTATTTCTTTGAAATATTTAACATAACCTGCTTCAAAACTATTTAGACCAATTGTATATGTGTACAAAATAGGGTTTTAGATATCTTTCAGTCAGAGACCATACCTTTAGGTTGGAGCTAGATGAAGATTTAATTTATTAGTGACAAGAGCACAAATGCTTTTATTTTAAAATTATAATGATTCCATGAATATGATTGATGCTTTGCTGTAATATAGCATATGCTCTTTCTTGTTTCCGAAATAACAAATGGAGAAAATAAAGTGATTTTTGTACGGTTTGCATTTTTTCCTGTAGTTTCCAGGTTTAGCTCCTTTGTGCAAAAAGAATACAAAAGTCGAAAAACTCTGCAGTACAAGGAAACTGCCACATCATCTGTATTTCCAACTTGCAATCCAGCGCTGTCTCCATGTTGTAGTTAAAAAAAAAGTCAACTTGAAATGTGACAGAAGGTACACTTGTCATATATGCATCACACACGTGATACACATAAAAAGCAAGCAGAGTTTCGATCACACCATCATAGTGGTTATCTTGATTTTTTTTTTAACATGCACTACGGATACCCCTGGTACAATCCTTCACAAAGCAGTTTGAAATCACCCCCAAACTAATTTATTTCTGTTTCAAAATGCAGAAAACACCATCTTATTTTGTGGACAACTAACCAGGAGGTGCAAGGAATACCATCAAATCAGTGTCCCATCCTCTGAGCTACACTTACAGAGATTCCCCCTGTCCAATTTTTGCTCCAGATGAAAATAGATGATTAGCAGCTACTCACCCCACGGATATTTTTCCGTACATGTATATAATAATAATAATAATAATAATAATAATAATAATAATAATAATAATAATAATAATAATAATATCAGCTACCACACCAGTTAGTAATTTGAAAGTTGTTGGTAAACAGGTAATTGGCCTGTAGTTGCCTGGTGTTGCCCCTTTTGCTGGATTTTTTATTATTAGGTAGGTTTTCCCAGTTGTTAGCCACTTTTCAATTTCTCCTCCTTGTAGTATATTGTTGAACTGCTTGGCAATGAGTGGGTGTATAACAGTTAGATGTTTCAACCAAAACCCATGCAGTTCATCTTCACCTGGTGCTGACCAATTTTTGATTTTCCTTGCTCTTTTTTCTACCATTTTTGTTGTTATTACTAGTTCTTTCATTTCAACTTCTGTTTTATTTGCATCCACCTCTTTTAACCAAGCCGCATCCTTGTTGTATTTCTTTGGGTTATCCCATATCTGCTTCCAGAACTGCACTGTTTCTTCCTTGTCAGGTACTGACTGATTCCTTGCAGTTTCTCCATTGATGGATTGGTAGAAACATTTCTGATTGGATTGAAATTGGAGGTTCTGCCTATAGTTTGCAATTCGAGCTTCATATCTATTGATTTTCCTGGCTATAGCTGTTATTTGTTGCTTTATTATTTCCAGTGCTTTCTTGATCTTCCTTGTTTCTAAGTGGTATTTCTTGATTAGGTATTCTTTGGTCGTTCTTGTTCTTCAGCTTCTTTTCTTTCATCTGTTCTAGCTTGCTTGCATGTGATCTTAACTTGCTGATCTTATTTTCTAGTCTAACCTTCCATTTTTCTGGTGCACTGTTTGTTTTTCTTCTTTGTTGATTTTGCATCCCAGATATTCTGTTATAACTGCAGCTGTGCTGTACATTAGTTGGTTTGTTTCTTGCTGACTGTGCGATGATCAATAATAATAATAATGATGTCTGGATAGTGGACGTGGCAGTGCCTGGAGACAGCAGAATAGAAGAGAAAGAACTGGAGAAGATAACAAAATACAAAGACCTACAAATAGAAATAGAAAGACTGTGGCAAAAGCAAGCAAGGGTAGTACCAATAGTCATAGGCGCCTGGGGTGCAATCCCCAAAAAACTGGAGCACCACTTGAACACCATTGGCATTGACAAATTCGCTATTAGTCAATTGCAAAAGGCGGCCTTACTAGGAACTGCTTCCATCCTGCGACGATATCTGTAATACCATCAAACATCCATATCTGCCTATCCCAGGTCCTGGGTAAGGACTCGATAGGTAGACAAAATGCCAAATCCAGTCTGAACATCTGGCTGACTGTGCGACGATCCAGAATAATAATAATAATAATAATAATAATAATAATAATAATAATAATAATAATAATAATAATAGTAATAAGCAAAAACTGGTGGGATCATAAAATAGAGAAAGTCATAGAAAATGATAAAATTAAACTGCTCTGGGACTTCAGAATTCAAACAGACAAGCACTTGCAACATAACACCCCAGACTTAACAATTGTCGATAAGAAAGACAAAAATGTCTGGATAGTGGACGTGGCAGTGCCTGGAGATAGCAGAATAGAAGAGAAAGAACTGGAGAAGATAACAAAATAAAAAGACCTACAAATAGAAATAGAAAGACTGTGGCAAAAGCAAGCAAGGGTAGTACCAATAGTCATAGGCTCCTTGGGTGCAATCCCAAAACAACTGGAGCACCACTTGAACACCATTGGCATTTACAAATTCGCTATTAGTCAATTGCAAAAGGCAGCCTTATTAGGAACTGCTTCCATCCTGCGACGATATCTGTAATACCATCAAACATCCACATCTGCCTATCCCAGGTCCTGGGTAAGGACTCGATAGGTAGACAAAATACCAAATCCAGTCTGAACATCTGGCTGACTGTGCGATGATCAATAATAATAATAATAATACCTTGGGACTTATTTTATTGATGGCTAGAGGAAAGACTAAAGGATTAGGAACTAAATATGTATTAGCGAATGTAAACTCAAATAGCACGTTTGTTGAATAAATGCTATTGAATGTACGGAAAAAATCAATAAAAATATTTTTTAAAAAAACTAGTAACATTTTCTTCCTTTAAGATCTAGCAACCAAACAAACTCTAGAATCACCACTGGCAATAAACTTAAATATTTATTTTGAAGTAACTATGTACATAATTGTTTCACTCTGGAAATTATAGTAAAACATACTCAAAGATTGGAGAAAGTTCATCTAGATCAGGGCTTTTCAACCTTTTCACCCATTGTACCACTTTTAGGATATGGCAATATCTGAGTACCACCAGTTGCCTAGCAAGGTGTCAAAAACTTGATGACAAAAAAAAGGAAAAAAGTGATAAGATACAGGTAGTCCTTGACTTACAACAGTTCGCTTAGTGACTGTTTGAAGTTACAATGGCACTGAAAAAAGTGTTCCCCAAGCCACAGCCGAGCAAGACACCTGCTTGCCCACCCGGCGGCGCTCTTCCTCCTGTCCGAGGTTTTCATTGTTGTGAGCATTTCTGTTGAGAATTGGCAGTGGGGATGGGGTGGGGGGGTGTTTGGTTTTTATTCCCCCCCCCGTCTGCTGGGTGGTTGCAACAGGTTTTGGTCACTTCACATAACCCTGGGACACTGTGACTGTTATAAATATGAATCAGTTGCCAAGCATCTGAATGTAAATCACAAGACCCTGGAAATGCTGCAACATTCCAGTTGATCGGCGCTTCTTCTGGGCTCAGCAGAAGCGCCAGGATCAGTGTTGCTTTCCAGATGATCGGTGCTTCTTCAGGGCTCAGCAAAAGCACCAGGATCAGCGCTGAGCTCCAGGTGGAGCCTGGCGCTGATCCTGGCGCTTCCACTGATCCCTGACAGTCCCGAAGAAGTGCTGATCAGCTGGAAGGCAGCACTGATCCTGGCGCTTCTGCTGAGCCCTGACAGCCCTGCAGCTCCAGTCATCTCTCACTTAGGCTTGTGCGGTGCTGCCACCGGTTCAGCTCAGTCCCCTTCCCCGCTACTTTTCTAGGATGGTCGCGTACCACCTGTCAGGTGCCAATGTACCACAGGTGGTACCCCTACCACTTGTTGAAAAGCCCTGTTCTAGATAAAACAATTGGACATGGGACAGGAGATAATGCCATCGTTATACTGAAGGCTTCATAATTGATTCTTTCATGTAGTATAGGTTGTACTGTTTTTTTTCTTTTTTAAAAAAAACCTAACTATGCACAGAGCCAGCCTATTCTGTGTAGGGGTATTTAATACAAAGGAATTGTACAATTATGTCAATATTCACATAATGCATACCCATTTTAATATTAATCTAAAATGTATTGCTATATAAAGAAAATATTGCAGAAAATCCATTCAGGCAAACTTTATTCTAATTAGATTTAAATATACATTAAAAAAGATCAATACATAAATAATTTATAGTTCTGCAATTCTGCATACCCAGATAAGATATACATATCTGCATTGAAGTGATGAAGACAAAGGGAATTTTCAGTCATGTTCTCAAAGCCCATGTGTATCATGCACTTGTAAGGCATTTTATGAAGTCACCCAAACTTCCCTTATTTTCCAGAGAAATAAATTACATAAACAGAAACAAATGAAGTAAAAACCAGAATGGGCACATCAGTTTGGAAATATGCAATTTAGAATTATTGAGACAAAAACACAGTGCTCAGGATTCAGTATTTTTGATTACATATTACGTTGCTCAAGGTAGACAAACTTGTTCCATTATTAGTGAAACAAAGTGCTAATTTGTTCCAATGGTAGTGTAAATCATCCTCTTGATTTCTCTTGGTTACTTTTGATCTATAGTCATGTCATCCATGAATACAAATGGAAATCTAGCATAGCTTCTATATTTACAAGGGGTACAATTCTGGCAGATTTCCTTCACATTGAACATTTGCAGTATGACCAATATCATTAGATACATTACAACAAAATAAGCACTTATTGGTAAAATAAGAAATTCATACACTCAAAATATACGTTAGAGAGAAGGAATCATGATGTAGTTGCAATGTTTTCTGATTTATGATGCATAGACAGAAATTGTAGAACGAAATAGCAGAGAAAGTAACGAAGGTGGGAAAAGGCCTTGAAAGTAAGTTTTGTTTGGGTAGACATATTCAGGTCTCTCAACATTTTTTTTTCTTTTCCTTTTTTGTACATTTTTAGAAATAATCACAGAAGAAAAATTAACACTGGAATAGCTAAATTCAGAACACAGATTTTCAGCATAATTCTTCATTTTATTCCGCAAAAGATGCTTATTTTAATATTAAATGAACTTTATATCTCCAAGTATTAATAATGAAAAACATGAAAATCGTGGCGTCTTGTGATATATGCAGTTGGTAATATATACCAAGATTGCAAAATAACATTCAGTTACGTGATCTTCACTAATAGGTCCTGTGGAAAATGGAAAAAAAAATGTTCCAACCATTCCTTGACAATACCATTAGCAGCATAATTTTGTGCAAAGAAAAATTGTGAAAATGTTGCTTCAAAATGATTTCTTCAGTAGCAGTGCACATTTTGTAATATTTTCTGTAACTAAAAAACAACTTATACAGATACTCCACACTCTATTTTTTTTAATTCTCTGCACTCAATTCAGCAACATCAGCATTTCAGTTACACACTAAACATTGACAATGAGGGAAACATAAAGTTCATTTTAATTCCATTCATATATAGCATTACACTTTACTTTATACTACAGTAATGCACACATCTCTAGTTAGATATAAATAACACTTACTTACTGGCAGCAAATATATATATCTCATTGATCATGACTCCAAACCCCAATATTATTTACAAAGCAATTATTTCAGTTCCAACCTATTAGGTATAAATAAAGAATTCAATGGCAAATACAAAATTTCGCATGAATGTACCTGCTCAAAAGCCATATTTTCCAATTTGTATTTAAAGAAGAAATCAAAGTTCTTCAGACAACACAATGACCATGACACTTTTACAAGTGAAAAAAATGAGTCAGCTTCACAAATATATAGAAATGTTTTAAATATTTTTGTTTTGGCATGAAATTCCATAGCAGGGTGCAAAAAACAAGACACTGAAGTCTTAATACTTAATGCATCAAGCAGTTTGAATTGCTGACTGGAATGTTTTATATGATTTTATGCAAGCTGCCTGACTTCAATTTAAAGATCTCCCAAAAAGAATTTCAAGAAGAAAAAAGTAATATTTTAAGCCAAATCTCCTTCACTTGATTTGTAGGTCACCTGAGAATGTCCCATAGCAATAACACAGTCCATTTCCAAACTTCTAAGGAAAATATGTGTGAAATTCCAGCTCAACTTCCAAAGCAAAAGAGAGCATCTAGTCTGCAACTGTGCATTTGAGCCACTAACTTTTGAATCAAATTTTAACAACCTTTCACTGTAAGTTCTCAACTTACTAGTAACAAAATTTCTATTTATCAAAATGAATAAGGTATTAAAAATATCGGACTTTTTTCTGGGAATCACAAAATGTGCGGAAGAAATTTGATAACTCAAAAGTAGCTTTTCTTAATAGACATGGGATGTTTAGATCAATTTACAGCACTGAGACAATTTCTAAATTCTAAACGTAATGTTAAACTGGTATTGATATAACAGTTTGCAAATTCCTTTGTTAGTACATTCCAGTTTCTGTTAATTATATATTTGGTATGTTGAGCACCGAGTGTAATTTCAGCGTTTGTGAAAATAGTATCCCAAGTCATACTTGACAGAAGATAAGCCATTCATTTTCCAGATGCACATTGCATAAAATTATGCTTCACTGAAGCTACTGCAAATCACAATAACCTTTCTCCCTCTAAAATGAATGTTGGGTTTATGTATTATAAAATACATAGATCAACCATTACTGTGTTTATCTTCTTCCATATCTTCCTTGTTACTTGCGTATGCTACACCTGAATTTGAACACTGTAAGGAAGTGCCCAATAAATTATCATACATTATTTATTTGGTTGTTACAAACAAGAATGCAAAAACATCTCTTTGTACTCATAAAAATTCTGCCAAGCATTGTGACTTTAAGGCTGCACTGTTCTGGGATGTTTAAATCTATCCAACACATATACAAAAAAATCTTCTCTGTTGTACAGCATTACTATTCACTAATCAAAATATTTACATCCTTTGCTTTTCCAAAATGACTAAAATCTCCTGGTGAGATGGATGGGTAACAGATAAAAATATGCAAATCCCCTTTCTGTATGAAACACAGGATAGTGACACGATAGATGTTTAAATTCTCATGATAATATCGAATTACCGGATTTGGCTTCAAGAAAACAATGGCAAATGCTTATTTTTTCTTAACCTGATATTGTCCAGTCCTGATAATACTGTATACATTTTTATATAGTGTTCATGAATACCTATGAAAATCGATTTGAAAAATTTCTTGGTCTCTATTTGAAAAAGTATGGATTTTTTTTTTCTCTAGTGAAAAAAACTGCTCTAGCAGTAAAAATACAGGCTTGATTAAAACAGATTTCCTTTGTAAGGCAATAGTTGGATGTCATCTTTTTTTTTATTTTCATACTAGAATAGTTCATTTTTTCAAAAGGCAGGATCCAAACTGCAAGAACTATTAAATTACTCTTAAAACGACGGACTTTTCCACAGAGAAAATTGGAACTTTGCAATTCAGTATGGCAAAAAAATTAATAATAATTCAGCTGAATAATTTTTACCAGCAGCTTTTATCAATGAATCTTATAAGACATTTTTGTGATGTTTTTCCCTTATAGCTATGTGCTAGTATATGTGGTTAAATAATTTGCTTTCAAACTGTTAAAATAGGATTAAGATTTCATTATCAGTTCTTATGCATGCAAATGTCATTTGCTATGTAGATAAAGAAAACATAAATTGTTTCCTATTCAGTGACTCTTAGGCAGGCATTGAAGAAAAACTATTTTATGCAGATTTGTAAAATCTCTCCCGATCTTCAAAAACTTGAATTGAGATCCCAAACCTATCTGAATGGCCTTTCCTGAATCATACCAAGGCTGTTATAGAAGGTAATCCATAAATATTTGCACCAAATAGGGCTAATAATGAACTGCACTTAGGAAGACCCAATTGTTTTATCCTTAGAATCTGAAGTCTTCCCCCTCACCACCCAAAAGCAAAACTTCCCACAGGTGCACATTTACAACTTTATTTTGGGCCCAACATTTGTTATTTTAAGACTTCATCCGCATTACCTTTACCTTGATTAAACTCTGAAAGTCAAAACCATATACCTTTATGTATGGACAGCTTCTAAAATCTAGGAGAGGTTTTTTGAAGTTGACAAGGCTTCTTCATTAAGAGATAAGAATAACCCCAAACAACAAGAACTGTCTCTGGGCCGCTGAGCACCCCTTTCTCCCTTGTGCCCCTTCTTTTCATATTCCAATCCTATTCAAAGTTTGAAGGAGTGAGGGAAAAGCTAGAAAGGGCACCGCTGCAGGGGTTGGAAACCAATGCTCTAAGCCCATCTTGAAGTGGGCAACTAATTCTACAAAGTGCATTTTGTTTTCACATTCCATTTTCTTTTCTGGCGAACTGAAGCTGATTCGGTTGCAGAATGAGATATGAGGCATTTTCCCAGAGTGATATTCAAGTGTTCTGGGGCTTTAGACATCATCAAATATTCTACTTTGAGACATTGACAAATATCTTCCACCAGGTTGGTACCTGTAGAATATAAAGAGATTTTAAATATGGAACTTATGTGGCACTGTTTTTGAGCTAAAGGTATTGAATGAGGAGAGCAACGTTAGCTATGGTAGTCCAAAATCAGAAGGAGCCTGATAGCAATATTTTCCGACTAGTAACTTTATTACACTGGGTTGTTGTTGGAGAGAAAATAGGAGGAGGAGGGAGTAATATGTATGTTCACCACCTAGGGCAGTGGTGATGAACATATGGCACGCGTGCCAGAGGCGGCACTGAACTCTCTCTGTGGGCACACACGCCATGTCCCAGAGATGGCAACCGTCCCTCTTCAACCAGCCGCCCGCTAACTCGCCGAGGTCCCATGTGGCTGGATGCATCCCAGCACGGCTGGTTTCCCTCCCCCCCGTCCTATTCCTCCTGGCCTTGCATGCTCTCCTTTTCCCACTGCATCGCCTCCTCAGCTGTCGGCAGGCCGTCCAGCTCAGAGCTGGCTTCTCTGAACTGCTGGTGGTGGGCTGTGGAGCCCCAGAGTGTGCCAGTTGAGTGGCTGGCAGGCTGTGGCTGCTGATGGACACTGTTGGCCCCCATGCGGTCGCTGACCTCTGTGTGTGGGGGCCGATGGTGTCAGGCAGCAGCCTCCCCGGCCTGTCTCACCTTGCCCTGCAACAATGGCATCCCTGCCCCACCCTGCCTCACCTCACCCCGCAGGACGAGCCTCCTGCTCACTGCCCCACCTGCCAGAGACCCCCTGGATGTCCCCCAGCCCTGCCCGGCCCCCACAGGCATCCCTTCCCATGAGCAACATCGAGGTGACCACACCCACCTTGGCCACACCCACCCAGTCTGCCATGACCATCACAGCCATGCCCACCCAGTGGGCCATGCCCACCTGGCACCCAGCAATAAATAAGTGGGTTTTGGGTTGCAGTTTGGGCACTCGGTCTCTAAAAGGTTCGCCATCACTGATCCGGGGTTACTTATAAAATAATAAAGACAAAATCTAATAAACAAAGAAACAAATAAAAGGCAGAAAACTTGTGAACTACACCTCATTTATCACATGCATGGAGATGCATGGAATAGCACTATGACGTGTAAATCTTAAAAAGACAAAATACCAGGTTGTAATGGCATCTCTGCAATTTTCAAATTTATATTCTAATTTTTCTATATAAAATATGGAAACATCTAAAGCTCTACTCAAATGTAAGAACTCAGTGACAAGAAATTAATATTGTATTGTTTACACAACTAATTCAGGTAATGATGTCCGGCATTAATAATGGAAACAACTGTCTTTCAGTGCTATGAATAATCAAGCATTTAACTTTTAGTGCACTTCTATGTGTATTATATTAAGCTTTCTTGGTAGTGTTTCAGTATAGGAAAGTCAGAAAACAATACATATTTTTTCTGGGATCAAGCTTCTATAATTATCTTTTTTCCTGGATGAGATGTTGGAAACCTGTGATGAGATCTCCTGCTTTGGTTTGTCTTTGTTTTTTTTAACAGAACATAGCTGATGAGAACTCTGAACAGGAACTTCCTGGCACCAGGAAGGTTATTTTGACTTAAAGAGTATTTACAGCAGTGGTTCTCAACCTGTGGGTTGGGACCCCATTTGGGGTCGAACGACCATTTCACGGGGGTCGCCAAACAACGCAGTCCGCCATTTTTCCCCCCTTTTCTTTAGCTGTGCTACTCCCTTTTATTCTATTGGCTTTTGAAAGCCAGTAGAATAGACTCTCTTGAATAGAGTCTAATTCTATTGGCTTTCAAAAGCCAATAGGTATTGTCCAGGCTGTCTCTGCCCTGCTGAGCCCGCCAAAAGTCCCAGTCTGCAAACGGTGCTGCACCAGTTGAGTAGTCCTCGACTTACAACCGATTGAGTAGTCCTCGACTTACGACCGGTTGGGAGTCGCGGCATTAAAAAGGTTGAGAACTACTGATTTACAGGGAACTTCGGTTTCTAGATACTCCTTACCTTCCTGATTCAGAGTCAAGAGGATCTTCATTGACTGCATCTGCATTAAAGTCCAGAGGTTCTGCATCCTGAAGAAGTTCTACTCTGTCCCTTTCATTCCTTCCATTTGACCTGGTGTACTTGGAAGTCACTGCAGGAAGACATTTCACAATTCAGTCAAGGGGCAGGTTGAACTCCAGCAAATGGCTGAAGAGGTCTTTGCTTTTTCAACAGAAAAAAAAAAAATCGATCTGGAATGCAGATAGTCCTTACAACAGTTCGTTTAGTGACTGTTCAGTGTTACAATGACACTGAATGACCGTTTTTCATACTTACAACCATTATTACAGTATCCTCATGGTCATGGGATGAAAAAAAATCAGATGCTTGGCAACTGACTCACATTTATGACGGTAGCCGTGTCCCAGGACAACTTTAAGGGACTTCCTGTTCCACTGTGCAGAAAAGGAAAGTATTTTTTGATTGAAAGATGGAGCTGTTCTGTATCTGATATTTCTTTTTGTTTTGCTTAAAGGTTTGTGGGATTTCTTGGCGTGTTTTATTTATATTGTTATTTGCTCAGAGCCTGTGGGAATGGATAGCATACTGACCATTCGTCCATGCATAACCAAGACAATTTGGTCTATGGTTAAGGTAGAAGGCTAGAAACCAGGAGATTGTGAGTTCTAGTCCCACCTTAGGATGAAAGCCAGCTGGGTGACTTTGTGCCAGTCACTCTCTCTCTCTCAACCCAAGCCACCTTATAGGATTGTTGCTGTGGGGAAAAAATATGAAAGCAACTTTTTCCAAATCAAAATCTGATAATTATTTCCCAATAACTCCAATTTACTTCTAGTTTGATATCACCAACATCACTGCAAGTTCTACCAACCCTCCTGGAACTGAATGAAACAGTGTAATCAATTATTATCCACGATCCAGAGAAATACACAAGGTCCCTCAGAGACCCCTCAATTACCTAAAGTTATTACTAAATTCACAAAAAAACCAATTAAAACTCTCAAGAAAACAAAATGCAAAATTAAATTGTTAATACAATTCTTACATCTGTTTGTATTGATCTCTGTGAAACTAGATTCTTTTTGGTCTGCTTGAAGATTTCTGTTTCTTGTTGAAGGTTCACGATTGTTTCCATACCGTTCTTTCCACTCCTGTCCAAAAATGCACAGAGTAAATACACACTTATAGGCACACACAAATTGTATAGTACAGTGATTTTAACGTCTGACATTCCAAAATATTTTCTCTGAAGAATGAGAAAGTGGAAGGATGAAGCAATCAAAGAAGGTTCAACGTCACAATGCTCATTAAGTTTACTGCATCCAAGAGAGGGACCATGCTCCACTTACCAATTAATAAAAAAATATGACTGAAATCTTGTAGGATCTCACATGCTAAGAATGCCTAAATTGCTTTGGTCTTCTCACAGGAGATAGCTGAAGTCTTGTGAGAATTCATGATGTTTCACTATTTGGGGCATTTATAAAAAAGGAAGGCACTCGTATTCAAAATACCAGCACTTGGTACCAAAAATGAGTAGTTACAAAATGCCAGGGAAATCTAGCCATTATAATCAAAATGGTTATAATGTAATACTGCTCAGAAAAAAAAATACCAATGTTTTACACAAAATGTAATATGCCACTTATTTTTGCCTATTTAGGATTGGATTGCATGCTACAGAAATAACCAAATTTTCCAAAGTTAATATTACTAAACTTTTACTGCTTAGAGAAAATATATTAAACTGTTGCACGTACCCTTCTCCTATTGTCCCCATCTTCCTGCCTTTGCCGTTTTCTCTTTTCTAGGGAGAAAAATGTTTTCATTTAAATGTCCAGTGGATTTTTTTTTTAAAAAAAAAACTTTATACTTTCAGTGAGATCAGTTTTTCCCACTAAGAATTACAAACTTTGGGATCAGAAGAAATGCATGATGGTTTAGTATGTCCCTTGTCTGTTATAACTGCATCATGGTTGGAGGAGCCACGTGGTAGCTGCTCTTTGGAAGAATATGTTCAAGTTCCCTGATCAGCAAAAAATGTGAGGCATTATTGAGTAGTGGGGCCAAGAAAGTATAAATTGGACATGCTTTGGAAGCGAACAGATTCAAAACACTGCTAATCTTTTCCCAACCCTGCCTAATCTAATCCAAAGAATTGTCTATCTTCTGTCTTTCTATCCCTTTACTTCTGTACATAGACAATGATGTTGAACATGGAACAAGGGGAATCAGGGCCAAATTACTTGATTTTTGCTCAGGGAAAATTTCTCTACATGGGAAACAAATGATTACAATGCCAAAACCAGGTCAAAAACTGGATAAAAAAATTACGCTGCAAGTAGAATGAAGGCTAAGGCTAAGCCACTATTTACCTCTATATTTCTACTGTAGATTTTGCACATGTATGTTAGAAGAGTTATTTATGTGTTAAGTTGAAGGTGCAGAAAACACAATTAGGAGCCTGCATTTCTTAACAATGTACGGATGGAGATATTAATTTTGTCTTAAAACTAGACAGAAACTAGGAAATGTACCAAACAAGATTGGATGCTTGTAATGTACGCTCATGTATCATTGGGGACGAATGTCAATATAGAGCCAGGTGGAAAATGAATCTATAAACAGCATTTTTAGAAGAGTTGGGCTCTCCCTATTAATTTGCAAAACACAACAGCCTGCTTCTTAGTTATGGAGTTAGCTATTGGCAATATTAAGTATCAAGGAAGCTGCATGTCATTAAAAATCATTAAGTGGTGCCAACAGAGCTAAAAGAGTCTGTTCATCATGTCCTGCTCTGCAAAAGCACTCAGTTTAACTTTTTTGGAGACAGAATACAGTCCAGATACATATTTACTCTCTGAACTTTGTTGTTTTCTTGCAGACATTTTATTACCCAAACTAGGTGGCATCATCAGTGCACTAGTTACCTAGTTTGGGTAATAAAACGTCTGCAAGAAAACAACAAAGTTCAGAGAGTAAATATGTATCTGGACTGTACTCTGTCTCCAAAAAAGGTCAACTGAGTGCTTTTGCAGAGCAGGACATGATGAACAGACTCTTTTAGCTCTGTTGGCACCACTTAATGTTTTTTAACGAGGGTACCAAAGACCCATCATTCAACCCTAAGCTACAAATATTCTCCTTTATCGGCATAGTTGATATCCTCCAGGAAGATAATTCTTTAAAAAATTGGAATAAAGGAGCAATGTTTAAAATTCCAGAGTTCTGGATTAGAATGGTCACAAACAGCCTCTCTTGTACCTCTTCTGATTAACTCTTTTCCTTCATCTATTAGGTCTGAAGTCATCTCATTGTCTCCCATGAATTGCTGGAATCCCAGAAGATTCAAACATCGAGTTCCTAAACTGGAAAAAAAAAACCATTGCCAAACAATAAAAACAAAAAGAAAAAATAAAGATATTTCTTGCAACAACTGGAAGGGACTTGTGATCCAATAAATGCTTACAATTATCACAGTGGAGGGGAATAACAGATTTTATGTAACTGAGGCTATCTGCTGATTGCCTCCAAGAATGCTTCTCAAAAATGAAATAGCTTGCTAGGTCTAGAATCACCTGAACTAGAGAGCAATTTATGCAGCATTTTATGGAATTATTGCCATGGGAGAGAAAGGGGGGAGGGGCGGCAAAGAAATCAGCTTTTTCCAGATCCACAGTCACTGGCCCAATCCAATGTCAACAAAATGAAAATGATTATTTCACAAACTATATGAATTGAAATTAAGCGTCAAGATAGATAAAACGTAAAATATGTATAAGATATCTTTTTAAAGCATGTGAATTAAGTAACATTCTAATGATGTGTCAAGCAGGAGAACTACCGTATATTCCCGTGTATAAGGCGACCTCCGTCTTCGGCGCCGAGTCGCATGCCTAGAAAGTCGTCTTATATGCCGGAAACTTCTGTTATTTCCGGCGTATAAGACGACCCCCGACTTCGGCGCCAATTTTAAAGCTTGCAAAAGTCGTCTTATACGCCAGAAAGTACGGTATGTATTTTTTGTGGTACAAATTCATTTTACTTATCACATGCCAAACAATTACTGGTTATTATGCTTGCAACTCTAAAATTTATATGTCAGGAAAAGGGAGGAAAAACTCAAGCTGATGTTAAAACTTAACTTTTTCAACATTTTCTGAACTTGCTGAGAAAGGCCAGTTCATTTGAGAAAGGAAGAACAATTTCAGAACATACAATATCCAAACAATACAAATTTTAAAAAAACGTTTCCTACCTGAAGTAAGTAGCAATGCAGAGAATGACAACCAGCATGGGATAATAAATATAAAAACCATCTGCTATGAAGGACAACACTTTCATTGATCCCATAATCTGGGAAGCAAAAAGTAAGAGATGTTAGCAAAGCCAGGTTTTGTTTTGCTGCTTCGCTCAAAACACTTTATATACTGAAACTTAAATAAAGTTATTATCCATAATTTTAGACATTATGCATTCTGTGGACAGTTCATTATACTATACAAAACTAGATTATAATTTGATGCTGCAGAGAATAAATAGTATATTTATTGCTTTTTAAAAATAAATCTATAAATATAATTAAGGAAGGAAGAATATTTTATGTCTGATATTCATCTTCAAATACTGTATGTTAAAGAAGTAAAAACAATTGCATGTGCTCAAACTTGCAGCTATAGGTTAACCCTTTGGTCACTGCTTTCTGCCAAAAGAAAATGGCACAATACAATGTAATCCTGACTGCTGTTATATTACCCAGATGGAATGATGATGTATAAATAAGAAGATAATGTATAAGAAAGAAGAGAATCTGTAACAGTGAAAACTGCAACTAAGTGTTCTCAAGCATTCATCTGAGAAAACCAGATTAACCTTCAATTTCTGCATGCAAATCCAGAACTCAATTAAGACATGTCAAGGCACAAGTATTCCTACACAATGCTGGAAAACTGACTGGATTCAACCATCTCTATTTTTTGTCACCTTTTGATACACGATAGATTGCAGGTACAACTTACAAACCAGAGCATTAGGAAGGAGTCTTAATTCCCAATTTTTCTTACTAAAATGTACCGGTACACTAAATTTTGTTTAATGAGACCATCCATATCAGGATAGAATCAGTATGCCCCATTATAAACTGCAGGAAGGGATTCTGACAAATCTAGACCTTTTTTTAAAAAAAATATAATTCATTTACAAGAAAAGAAATTTAAATTCATCAAGGAGATAATGAGATTGCCTCAAATTGAATCCTTGAAATGTTCTGGTTTTTTAAAAGAAGATTGTTAAAACATTAATGTCTCATCTAAGGCTGGCTCAAGCTCTTCATAGAAGCTGGACTAACGTGCCCATCATCATAAATGATCAAGGTCATAAACTTTACTTGCTAATATATATTTTGCATACATTTATCCTGTTCCTTAATAATTCAGGCCCCAGAAAAGGTAAGGAAAATGAATGTGCCTCTCTCATAGATAAGTCATGTTATCCTAGTCCAGCCTTGGTTTATGAAGCATTTGATGCTTTTCTGAGTACAACATCATTATGGGTCACGGAGTACATTGGTTGGGCATCAGATGCAATTTCCTATTTCCACACTATATGGATATTGAACCAAAATTAGATAGCTTTAAAGCTGACAATGGTTTGTTTTAGAAATCTGTTATTATTATACACATTTATTCTATTAGCTTTACTGAGTGCAACTTTGGTAGAAACATATTATAAGTTTACTATCTAATTAGATGCAATAAATACAGATAATACACTAAATCTCATCTGCCCAGTGATGGACTTAAGAAATATAGGCTTAGATTAATAACATTTATGAATTTTCCCCTTGTAGGGATTGCATGTAAGCTTCTGTCAGTAGAACCAAATTGTATATAGCAAACTGGAACTTATATGCAAACGAAACAATTTCTACTAAGCCAAAATAGCCAAAGAAAGAATCAAGTCAGGCCAAACAGATTTGAAATCCCGCTTTCAGCTGTTTGGGGGAAATCTCTTGGTATTAAATGTATAAATCAGGGGTCTTCAAACTTGGCCCTTTTATGACTTGTGGACTTTAACTCCCAGAATTCCTCAGCCAGGCACACTGGCTGAGGAATTCTGGGAGTTGAAGTCTGCAGGTCATAAAAGGGCCAAGTTTGAAGACCCCTGGTATAAATACACTACAGCAAAAATAAACAAATACTGTTAACTTACAGAGGTATAAGCAGTTGGCTGTTCTGTGGTTCTCTGAGAAATTGCTGCATCCATATGAGTCAAGCCCAAAAAATTTAGACACAGAGGAGGAGTCAAACGACAGAACAACCTGCGTGAAAAGTAGCAGCAGTTGAAAAGTAATTTCAAATTCTTCCTTTCTTATTACTAAGAGTGTTCATGTAAACTGTATTGTACTTTTCTTGATTCTTTTCATGCAGAAGAAGTTAGTTAACACTTAATACAAGTAGTCCTCGAATGATGACTGTAATTGAGACTGCAATTACAACTGTAAATCATGGTTGTTAAGTAGATCACCATGTGATTGTGCCCAACTTTCCAATCTTTTTTGTGGTGGCCATGGTAATTAAATGAACCCACTCGTTTGCTTTGCAGCATTTTTTTTTTTTTTTGCCAGAAAATGGAAGCAAATGTCAGGTTCCATTAAAAAAAATGCTGTACATTGTGGTCATGTGACAGTAGGATGCTAAATGTAGGCTGACTCCCGAGTGCCCAAAATGTGGTCATGGGACTATGTTATGGGGGGGGGGGGGACAGCCATTGAAACTTCAAATCCAGTTTGTAAGTAGCTTTTTCGGGGTTCTTTGTAACTGAACGGTTGCTAAGTAACCGATAATAAATTGATGACTGCTGGTATGCTGCTCCGCATAGAACTGTAAGCAGTATTTGGACTGAATATAGGTATGTGCTACTGAAAGGAGATGAATCAAAACAGATTTCCTCTTTCTGTTCCCAGCAATCTCCAGAAAACACTCTCCTGAGGGGTCCCTAATGTTCTCTGAGCTTGGTTGTTTTCTTGCAGACATTTCTTGACTCAACTAGGTAACATCAGCAGTGCTAATATTAGCACTGGATGTTTTCTTGCAGACTTCAATATCTGCAAGAGAACAACCAAGCTCAGAGGGCACCATTTCATCCCTGAGCTGCAAATATTCTCTTTTCTTGGTAAACACTCTTCTGAAAGTTGGGAGTTGATTTCTGAATGGAGTGGAATGGACAGGAAGGAAGATATTGTACCGATGATCCCTCTGCCCAGTTTGTCAGTACTTCTCTCCCTTATTCTGCTATGAATGAGACTCTTCTGCACAGCAGGGAACAGTTTCTGGAGTTCTCCTACTGCTAATTACATAATTATCATATATAATAATTGATTACATAATCTGATTAAAAATTAAACCAAGAGCTATTGTGGACTCCAGATTTTGGCCAAGATCTAATTATATTTCAGTGCATTCCTTCTTTATATTTAATTGGCCAAACACAAGTAGCAAAATAAATACTTACATGCCACTGAAAAGCAAGCTATATGCATCTGTCTGATGGTGTGAAGCTAAGTAATAATAGTTGAATACACGGATCCTGAAGACCGTAGAATAAACGCAGATACTCAGGAAAAAGATTGTAAAAAAGCAAGCCATCTGCAAAACAAGAAACGACAGTTTTTATTTGCGTTCAAATTAACAGCTGCAAACAGGTGACATGTGAATGACCAAACCAATTGCCTTCTGATCCCAAACTTGCATAGCTCTTAACAAATAAGCTTAAATCTAAGTTTCCTCAAAGTCAATGAATGCAGAACTTAACAATAGGCTCATACATATAAATATGACAGAAAATGCCAAACCATCACATTAACTGACCTCTATGTAAAAATAGTTGTAATTCTTTTCCGCTAGTCGTATGAATATGGCAAAGAGCGACAGAACTGGCTTTGGGCTGAAAAACGTGCATTCTGACCACACAACAATGATGGAAAAGATGGCCAGGATAATGGCAAGAATCCTGTGAAACCATGGTCGTAGAAGACATTCCCAATACCATTCTAAAGCAAAGTGAAACAAAAGAAATGACAAAGGGGAGAAAACATGAAAATCATTTCAAAACGGCTTTCAGTTAGTCCTTGATTTATGACTGTTCAGCAACTGTTTGAAGTTACAACCTCACTGAAAACAATGACTTACTCTTATGACCATTGCCAGTTCACATTTATGAGAGTTGCAGTGTCCCATTTGCAACCTTCCCAGCTGGCTTCCAACAAGCAAAATCAATGGGGGAAGCTGGCAGGGATGGTCACAAATTGCAATCACGTGGCATCTTGCTTAACAATGCAGTAAAAATCAGGTATAAAAAAAATCAGATGTAGTCACCTGATGCCTCACTTAATATACTACACCATTTAATGATAAATTTTCTGGTCCCAGTTGTGGTCATAAGCTGAAGGCAACCTGTATCTTTTCTAGTAGCAGCTCTTGAGCTGAAGCACCTATCTCAAGGTAGAGCAGACAATAAGAGGACACAGGATGAACCTCACATACAAAATTAAACCTAAAGAGAAAATGCTGATAAGGAACAAAGTTTGAATGATTTTTTAAAGATAATGTTATAGACTTAGGATGGATTGGGCTGAATCCTTTTCACTGTTTTAGAGGCTTTGTTTAAAACATGTATTCTATTACGGGTACAACAAAACATACCAAGAGTTGGTGTATAGAGATATTGGATAATTTTGTTTTCAGCTTCTTGAGACTGAAAAGTATGAACAAATTGATGAGTGGCACTGGATTCATTTTTTGCCACATCTTCCAGGTAAAAGGCTTGCTCTAAAAGAATTTGCCACTGGACTTGTGTACGACGATGCCTTTGAACTGAATAAATCACCTAAGAAAATAAAAACAATATTCTAGTTATTTATGGCAATAAGGACAAAATAAGATAGAGATGATTTCCTCAAAACTCCAACAAGTGCTTCCTTAATAAACAGAATACACATCCTCTCCATAGAATGAATGTACATGTATATTTGCATGCACATGCCAAAATAAAGACAGGAATAACTTTTATGAGGAATATGGCTTGGGTTACCAAGTATCTATCTTCCTGCATACACATTATTTAAAATACATAGGAACTTGTCTTCCACCAACACTTTGCTTATTTCTTGATTAGCACAGCTAATTATGGCTATATGTGGATATATTTTCATGGTCTAAGTACAATGACACCTGCTTACAATACAGTGCATGTTTAAAAACAAGATTGGAATTTGAGACAACTGTACCCAACTGTTCTAGCAAAATAAACAGAAAGAGTTCGAAAAGACAGCACAAATTAACTTCATTACTCGGTAATTCTTATACTCATATAATGAATACATGGGGTGGGGGAAGTATGTAGATTACATGCCAGATTTGCACACTGCAGCTCAGACATGTAATTCAAATCCATGAGGAAGACACGTTCTTTATCAGATGGCCAGCTCTCTTGGAAAGACTGTGCTTCTTTGGAAACTGGGAGTAGAATTCCTGTGAATCTGTGATCTGGAGCTGGAAAAGAATAGAGTTTTTCCCCACTCTGCAGTCTCCAAGTAAAATTTTAAAATGTGCATTGAGTTCAAGAAAACTGAAGCAGGGGAAGGCATTTTTAGTAGAAGAGGAAGCAACAGGACTCCAGAAGGGGTAAAAAGAGTCAGCCAAGATGAATCTCTTAATCTTGACAAGGGATCAGCTGGAGTCTCCCTAAAAACCAGGGAGATTCCATGCAAGAGATGCTGCTGAAACAGAGGAATCAGGTCTGAGTTACAGTAGAAGAGCAGATCTTCTGGAACCTGAGATTAACCTACCTACTCAGAGCATCTGCAGCCATTATATAATACAGAAGTAGATCCTCTGAAAGGCAGAAAATCTACTGGGATGTTGGGAGTAAGCTTTAGGAGCAAAACGATAGAGTTTAAAAGACAGCAAGATGATAACTAAAATCTGTCTAAGATTCAGAGCATCTTGTCCTGGTCTCCAATCCTGAAAGAAATCTGCATTTATATACACTACAGAGGGTTAGGAAAAGTCAGCATTTATCATATCATAGTCTGTTTATATTGTGCGCTTGCTTGATCTCTGAAATGCCCTTATAACTTTCCAAAGATTGGCCAAAGAGGTGCTGAGGATTTGAAATGACTTTATTGGGATGATGTGACCATCTTTTTAATCACAGTATTGCTTAGACTAGAAATGTATTCCAGGCACTAGAGAGGCTAGATTCACAATCAAGCCCCCCCAAATCCCAAACCGGCCTAAATGATATATTATTTGGAACACTGTGTGGGTCCTAGGACTCTATCACATTTGAATAATGTACAGATTTTCTATGTACATTGTCCAATGTACAGATTTTCCAGAACTGTACAGTCCCTAGAAAGACTGGGGTGCAAATTTTGGGCATAGCTGGTTATTAAAAGATATCTGCACCCTAGTATAGCCAAATTACCATATCCCGGTAATCCAAAATAGATCCAATGCAGTGATATAGTCTGAGGAGTATCAGGCTGCATTTTAACAGTCATCTGCTCTACATACGCCCAACATAAAAATAGTTTGTTTACTGGAGTCTTGACCTCTTGGACTATGACTTTAAGTTCAGATACATTCAAGGGAAAACAAAGACAGTGTTGGATGCAATTATCCATAGGTATCTTTGAGAAGATCTAAGAGAACTTTTGGATTTTTTGGATCCAGGAATGTAGGGATATTAGTCTCTCAAATGTTTATGTTACCCAGCCTGCACATTCTGCTTATACATCTGCTACAACTTCTGATGTATTGAACATATAGCAATAGCACTTAAACTTATATACCGCTTCACAGTGTTTTACAGCCCTCTCTAAGCAGTTTACAAAGTCAGCATATTGCCCACAACGATCTGGGTCCTCATTTTACCAACCTCAGAAGGATAGAAGGCTGAGTCAACCTTGACTGGTGAAATTCGAACGGCCAAACTGCTGGCAGATGGCAGTTAGCAGAATTAGCCTGCAATACTGCATTCTAACCACTGTGTCACCACGGTTCATACACCATTTACATTATCTAACTACCTGCTTATGAAGCTTCACTAGGCTTTTCTCTGTTGGATAAGTATTGGATCTTTCTTCAAAGTCTTCATAATCATCCATGTTTCGGCCCATCCTCTCCTGATATTCTGTAGGACACTGGAATTAAAAGAAAATATATTGCAGTTTATATCTATATCAAAGCCTATCAGTGAGTTCATTTGAAAAAACAACTGAAGCCTTAAAAACAGACCAAAAATGGTCTGCTCTTATTATACATGAGCTTTTGTTTTCCTTCTTTTTATCAAAAGTTTCTTTAGCAAAGAAGACAGCAGTGGGCTAGCTCGTTTCCTTGCTCCATTAAAACTGGGAATCTAAATAGTTCCTACTACAGAAATACAATCACATCAGTTCAGACAAAGTTCTGATTACAGGTAATCCTCAACTTATGACTCAACTGAGCTCAAAATTTCCATTGCTAAGTGAGACAGTTGTTGTGAGTGTTGCCCCATTTTGCATTCTTTCTTTCCACAGTTGTTAAGTAAATCAGTTTCTTTCCACAGCTGTTAAGTAGTAAGATAGTTATTAAGTGAATCTGATTTCCCCATTGACTTTGCTTATCAGGTCACAAAAGATGATCACAAGACCCTGGGACACTGCAACCATCATCAATAGGAGTCAGTTGCCACGTGTTTGAAGGTCGCAAAATGGGACCATGACCCCAGGACGCTAGCTGGCAAGCGTCCAAATTTTGATCAGGTGACCATGGGCCTGTTGCAACCATCATAAGTATGAAAAACGGACATAAGTCATTTTTTTCAGTGCTGTTGTAACTTCAAACGGTCGCTAAATGAATGCTGTTAGTTGAGAACTACCTGTATTCCTGCAGGAATATTTTTGTCTGAAAGTACTGAGCTTTTGCGTGGCTTGTCTTTTCTTCTGCCAAAGTGGCCAGTGGCAGTGAAATTAGTAAAGGTCTTTCTCCTACCATTTGCAGTAATTTTTCTCCTGATTGCTAAGTGGTTGAGTACAAGTACCAGTAACTGTGGGCATGACCTGGCACAATGAGGCACTGAGACTAAATCAAGACGTGCTACTGTCTCTACTGAAAAAAGTAAGGGGAAATATCGCTTCCCAGAATTCAATTAGCCTTCTCATGATAACTGATAATTTTGTACCCCCATGGCAACATTTAATACTGATTAAGCTACCTTTTTTAATACTGTATCCACACATTTCCTCAAAGGATGGTTGTATTTGATGCTTTCATTTACTTTGCGGACCTCCTGTTTACGTGAGGAGAAAAAAAAACCATTAGGAATATAATTTCTATGTAGAGAAACTTTGAATATGACATTCAGTTAAATTTAAAATGTTTTACAAAAGATTTTTACAAGCAGAGACAGACTCACTGAGCAATTTATTTTGAAACCTCTTTTAGTAAAAGGGTGGAAACGCAGGCAATATAATTTGTAATGGAGTCCTCTTTTTACTTTGCACCATTTATGCTTTTTGGCTCTGGGGGCTGGAGGCATTATTTTTAAAAATTAGAGTCGAAATTATTAAATAAGGGAGCAGGAAATTCCATTTGCACAGAAGTATTGAATAGCTGACATCATCCAAACTGCTTGTTACCTTTCTTGCTATCCTGGATATCAAGAAATTGTATGTACCTTTGGTATATTTTGTTTCTCAAAATCTTTTTATCTACTCCCTTTTGTATCCCTGCATTTGGCTGTGGAATTCACTTGCCTCCATGACATCCTCCAGGTTTTCTTCCGCATCTGCCTTTTCAGTCATCAGTTTAGCAGCCTTAAAGTAAGTCTTCATGAGAAGATAGCCCTTTTTAGCTCCATTCCAGTGAGAGCGTGGAATTTCTACCAAGCCATATCCTAACAGCAACACAAGCAGAAAGAGGCCCCAGGTATTGGCAGCAGCTATTCCTATTGTCTGAAGCTGACTCCTAAAACAGAAAACGTGGGCTGGGTTTTCATATGCAATAAGTACTAAAGATTTTATGCCACCATTATATAAAATCCTGGAGAATATCTACATATATGGCTGCTAAGAGTCAATACCATGTTGATGATCCATAATCAATTAAATTACATTTTTATCAGAAAAAAATAACAGATATTAAATTCTTTTTCTGTCTTAGTATTTGACTAATGATTCCTTTTCCAGAGTTTGGTGTAATACGTTGTTGATAAAGTACAATAATTTGCTATATCCAAGAGATTCATATGAATGTTGATATTACGTAAAACACTCTGAGTATTAAATGTGTTTTGACTTTACTGAAGTGTTCTAATGCTGTTACACCAAAACCAAAAAATGTTATGAACTGGAGTCAACTTTTAAAGTAGGAACAACCTTGGAAGACTCTTGGTAAGAGCAAATTGCTATTTCAAACTTAAAATGGAGGGTTTTTTGTTTTAAAAAATTTTTTAACATGACAGACACACCTGTTTTTGCCTGAGAAAGCATTCTCTACTGAGCCGGTGAAGCAACTGGTCTCATTGGCTTACATTCTCAGTACAAATCTATTGAGCTACTCAGCCAAGGTTGAAATTAAATGTTGAGCTTTTGCAGCTTCTAGTCATGATTAATAATCATCGATTTCCATAATTAAATAATTAATTAAGTGAATGGTAAAGTCGTTAAATAAAAAATTGATAATGCGAAAGGAGCAAGTTACTTCTACCAATAAAGAATACACTGATACATTAGTTTAGTCCCTGTTAGAAGTAGCCCCACTGAGGCTGAGGAATTCTGGGTGTTGAAGTCCACAGATCTTAAAGTTGCCAAGGTTGAGGACCCCTGCCTTAACTAGTATGAGGCAAGAACCATATTGGATCAGGGGAGTTCAATATCCTTTCATCCACAAGAAAAACCTACCATAAGTAAATATGTGCAACTAGATATGAAATTAAAAATCAAATCTTAAATTAAGTTCAACAACATAGCTATAAGTTCTATCTCCTCCAATCGCTAAATAACAGTCTAAATATACAACATTTCAAAATATTAAAGGCTTAGCAATATTACTTACCATTGCAAGCTGATGTTTGGATTTATAGCTACATATATCAAAAACGCCCCAAAAATCAAAAGGTATGTTCCATAATATATAGCATTTTCAATTAATGCTGTTTTAATCTTCCCAGTAATGGAAAAACCTCCTGATCTAGCATAGGACTGCATAAAGGGTAACAGAATCCTAGGAATGAAGAACAAAATGAATATATTTTTCTTTCTTGTTCAGTAAGTACTTGGCACTTATACACATACAAATAGAAAAAACTGGCAGCTATAATATTTCTGAAATGTCTTATTTTAAGGTCCAAAGAATAAATCAAAAGGAAGGAAACCGTTTCCTCACAGAACTGATTTGAGATCTACAGGACTGGCGTGTTAAGTAAATCTATCATTGGCAGCAGGTACCGAGTTCGTATTTTGTCACCATCTGTGACAAAAAAGTATATCCAACTGATTCAGTGAACAGAGCAGCTACTTTACAGAAAAGCCAAGTTCCTTCCTCAGTTTAGTTTCTCTGATGGCTTAAATAAGATTTTTTCACTTGGCTGGAATAGAGAGAAGAACTGTCTTAAAACCTACGTGACGTAATGTAAAGAAGTTTGATACGTCCTGGTAGGCAAACCTGTCTTTCAATTAAAATGTCCCAACACTTACATTAATGATGAACATTCAAGTGATAAGATATGCAAATGTATAGACTGTTGTTCTTTTGAATATTTTAGTTTAGGCTGTTTCAAGCATTCCAGAAATTTCCATAATGCTTACCATGTTAAAAACTGTGATGTCCAATATACAACACGCCAAAAAATGGGCATAATTCTATCAGGGATATAACTCCATGGTTTGAAACATTTGGGTTTACTATAAAGACAATGAGAGTTAGCATCAAACATATGCATAATATAGAAATATACAGCACTAATTTTTGATGGGGAAGCAATGTTCTAAGAAAGGCTATATTGCAATGTAAAGCAATAATGAGACTCTCACATAGCCCACAGGAGCCCCACAAATTGCAAGAAAAATAAAAAAGGTGCCAGAAACAGTACACACACACACACACACACAGTATATATATGTATGTATGTATATATAGTATATACACACACACACAGTATATACAGTACATATACACACACAGTATGAGTGTGTGTGTATATATAAAACCTCAGAAAACATATATATATATATATATACACACACACACACACACACATACATACACATATACACACACACATATATTTTATATAAATATATATACTCTCTCTCTCTCTCGGTGTATACATACTGTGTGTGTGTACACACACACACACACACACACAGAGTATATACATATATCGACATATACTTACACCATACACATGGGGGGACAGGAGATTGAGAGAACTGAACAGGAGTTAGTTTCTTAACTTGGAATAATTGAGGCTCAGGACTGGATTGGACCAAACTAGATATGGTGGATCCTTGGCTAACCTCTGGTGAGGTTCTGTTAACAATGGCAATGTGGAATGCTGGGATTACTATTGCTAAGTAATGAAGTCATATGATGTTGCACTTTATGACTGCATTGTTAGTGACTAAAACTGCAGTCCCAATTACTATTGTAACTCAAGGACTACATGAATTATAGAATAATAAAATAGAGCTCATTAAACTATTCAGCTTCGTAGAATCATACATGCAAATTAAATTGATTACTCAAAGTAAAAAAAAGCTCAGAATATGAACTCATTCAACGTTCAGACCCAAACTGAAATGTTTACCATTCGAGTTACTAATTACAGTATAAATTAGATTATTCAGCCAATAGTAATAACAACATGACTCATAAAAAGTGTCACCAATGATCTGATGCAATATAAACTGGTTTGAATTTTGTGCTCTTTGGCTTAGAACTATGACTGCTTCCCTTTATACTCCCATCTGTCTCATTCATTTTGAATGAGACTGCTGATCTATGCCAGAACTATAAAGTATCCTACTTTGGAGAACTGACAAAAAGAAACCCAGGAATTTATAAAAATGTAATAAAGTATACTTGCACTAAATACAAGTAATTAACCAAGTAAAAAGGAAATATTCATAGTGATGTCTTTTTGTTTTCACTTTGTTTTTAAATACCACACTTTCTATAAGTAGTCCTTGACTTAACAACTTTCTGTTGTTAAGTGAGACAGTTAAGTGAATTTTGCCCCATTTTACAATCTTTCTTGCCTCGGTTGTTAAATGAATTGCCGCAGTTGATAAATTAGTAACCTGGTTGTTAAGTGAATCTGGCTTCCCCATTGACTTTGCTGGTCAGGTCACAAAAGATGATCACATGACCCTGGGGACACAGCAACGGTCATAAATATGAACCAACTGCCAAGCATCTGAATTTTGATCACATGACCATGGGGATGCTGCAAGGGTCTTAACTATGAAAAATGGTGTCACATTTTTTCAGTGTCACAACTTTCAACACTCACTAAATGAACTGTTGTAAGTCAAGGATTACCTGTACTTATGTTATGTAATAATAAAAAACCACATCACAACATCTTTCTGCCAAATTACACCACCTTTAATTATTTTTATTGATATCTCATTGAGGACTTCACAATCTCATGACATTTTTCTCATTTAAGTTAAAAGAGAGACTCCTCCTCCTCCCCCTACCAATGTTACAAGATTATCAAGAGATTTTCAATCAAAAAAGAATTTAACTTTTATATGCCTTGGTACCTCTGAGTGGGATTAATGTCTTGATGTTGCGCTTCTGATCCACGGCTGGTGGGATAAATGTATGAGTCGTTTAGATCATGCTTACACCGATTGTATATAGTCTAGAAAACAAAAAGTCAGCAATTGGACAAAAGTAAAATAAGAGTTATAAAGACATGGAGGTATAAAGACATATTCATCAAACACATCAGCTTCCCAAAATGAAAACCCCCAATTTTGCTATGTTGATGTATGCCAATCATCCTTTGCTTTTCAGCAACTCATTGACAAATGTATGCAATGAATGTATCCTTACTGTATGTTTGTTGATTTCAAAAAAAGTGTAATAAAGTGAATAGGTTCAAATTATTGAATAAGCACATTTTACATTAGATATTAATCAGATATCTGATGTGAATTTTTTGAAACTAAATTATGTCCAAATAACAGTAAATCCTTATGTGTTAATCCTATGGAAAAATTATAATCAAATTTTATTAAAATGGAGAAAATAAATACGAAAATTCTTACCGTAGTGACATCTAAGGGCAGTATAAAGACTATGAGAAAACAAAGATACCAAGCTAATAGTGTTGCAACAATCACAAGTTTGTGCTGCTTTTTGAAGTCACCATATCGCTGTAGTATGATTAATGCCAAAAAGAAGACAACAACTATCTCAATGCCCAAAGCTGCACCACTCATTATTATCCACTGATTCCAACCAGCATATATTAGTCTGTAAGAGGATTACATCTGTAATAAACAGCAAAACAATGATTTAAATACAATAGAATACGGCTTGTAATAAACATATACTTTTCAGCTGAAAAGGTTAAAAAAATCCATTTAACTTGTCTACCACATTGGACCCTGATCCGTACCATCAGACGTCACTGTATTTTAATAACCACAGAACAAAAGCACTGATCTAAATGCTATTTCAGTTCCTGAGTAACCTCTGTCCTTCTTCTACAAATGGCTATTGGTCCTGCTGCCTGAGGTTGATGGGAGTACAGTAACAGTGTAGTAAATCTGGAGTTGGGGGAACTTGTGGCTGCTTTAGAGAGCAAGACCCCTTGCTTTTAACTGTTTTTCTTCAAAGGAGCTATTGTACTTACACAGCTCTGTCATAAGGAAAAAGCAACTTTAAAGAAGAGCGAAGAGAGCATTCAAGTGAGGAAAGGCCACATTTCATGTTTTGCTAATCTATAGGGAATAACATATTAAGAGTGTCTGGGATTATGCAATGCTTGAGATACTCTTGTTATGCATTTTTAAAATTGTTTTCTGTATAGAATATGTGACTGTCTGCATTTCTATCCTCATACAAGAGACAGCACTGGAGTTTTTAAAGATAATATAGACAATGCTACTTATAGAAAAGATGCAATATAAACTGATAAGAAATGACTCACAACCAAAATGTCTAAGGAAACAGTTCCTACTAGATGATCCTGCTTGCTTGGTCTCCAAGATGATCCTGAATGACCCTTCTGCATAATCCATCCGTTCAAAGGTTTTCTGACATGAATGCAGAATGTGACCTTTGTGGTTGCATTAAGGGTTGGTTATCCTGCCACAGACGTTCCTCCCTCCCTATGATGTCCCACTCAAGAATATATATTTTTTTCCTAGAAGATCACAGACCTTTCAGATGACTGAGTTTCTGTCCCTGTTTTGTCTCCCTGCTCCTTTGAGCCAGTTTAGATGGTTTTTCTTGCTTTTTTTAAAATTATTGTTTTACTGATTTGTGCTATGACTGTTTTAGATGACATTATGTCAGCCCTTTTGAATCCTATTGTAGCAGAAAGGTAGAATATATTTTAAAGAATAAGTAAGATCAGGAATACCAACTATTAATTTTATGCTTCATTATTTCGTTTGTCAGTTTTTATTAAGTCATTCGAAATGAACTTCAAACCATAATCGCATAAGTCAGTGGTGGCGAGCCTATGGCATGGGTGCCAGAGGCGGCACTCAGAGCCCTCTCTGTGGGCACACGTGCCATCGCCCCAGTCCTAGGCCTTCAGCTGGGTTTTTAAAAACTTTTTCGCTTTAGGCCTCTGCTGCCATGTGCAAAAAAAAGAGGTTCAATCAACCAGTCAATTTCAACTTCTTGTGGGGAAAAAAAAAGATCTTGCAAAGTTGGAATTGATTGAACTTTTTAGTCCCACCCAATCTGCCATTACCACCACAGCCACGCCCACCCAATTGGCCACACTCAACCAATGGCCACACCCACCCAGCACCCAATGATGCATAAGTGGGTTTTGGATTGCAGTTTGGGCACTCGGTCTCTAAAAGGTTCGCCATCACTGGCATAAGTAGTACATATTGCTTTTATAACATATTGCTATCGTAAGCAGAGATGAGAAGATTAAAATCTGATAGCGAACTTTTATCCTATACTGTAATTTTTACTACACAGGTACTGAGAAAAAGCTAACCATCAAAAACTTCCATCAGGATATCTTAATAATTTTAAAGTATTATTAAATTAGTTAAAGTAACTAAGGAAAAAAGCTTAAGCAACTGCTGGTCTAAAAAAAGCATAGTAACATTTCAAAAGTAGTAAGATAAAACCTTAAGCAAACACTATACACCATATCTGTAAACTTGTCTGTCCTACAAGATAACATGTAAAAAATGAAGCTGTAAATTCAAGTTGGCAGTTCAAAGAGAGCTAAGTGTGCATTTCACATTCATCTCCCTTTGCACTTGCAAGCTTGCCTTTCAGAAATTGATCTGGTTTCCCTGCTTTGTAATGAACTTTTTAAAAGCAGCACTGCTAATTTTATACAGGAACCAATTACCATTCTAATACAGGCACATTTATCCTTAGAGTGGTACCTTGGTACTCAACTGCTGTGAAATCATCAAATTTGATGTGAAAATTTTATCCCGGTACTTTGTTTGTTTGATACTCAATGCACAAGCTAGAAGTTGTGTCAGTTGCCTTATGACTTAATATATTATTCCTTAAGGGAAAAAAATTGTTTGGTACTCATCATTTTTAGTACTCATCGCACCTCCTGGAATCAATTAACAATGAATACCAAGGCACCACTATATTTTGTCCTTTAACCACAATACATTCTTCATGTGTGGATACATAAACACAAACACACACACACACACACACACACACACATTATATATATATGACTATCACACACACCCCACCTAAGATTCAAAGTGCTGAGTACTGAATTCTAGCATTTCTATTCATTTAACACTGGAGGACAGAAATAAGCAACAATTCGTGAGAAGAGTTTCTATCAACATGCATGGGTAAGGCTGGCAACAGGTAATGCCAGAATATATACATATCCATTGATAATTATTCACATCCATGCCCTACATTTATTTAGCACACTTCTCTATCCGGTCTAAGCAAGCAAAAAAATAAAATAAAAAATGGAGCAGAGAATCCCACAGAACCAGAGTGGGATGCCCGGTTTTCAAGACTTTAAAGCACCCATCCTATTAGTAATTATTAAAAAAAAATCCTTTAGAATTAGGAAGATTTCACTCCAATTCTACTACAGTCTCCTCCTGGATATGCTGGTTACTGTCCTTTCTTTTAAAGAAAATGCCCTTCCCCAACTTGGTGTCCCCTGGTTCTGCCCGAATCTCCAAATTCCCGGGTTGCGGGTGATGGGAACCGTAGTCCAATACATAATAGGGCGCCGAGTGGGGAAGGCCGTTCTGACAGGGCTGAAGAGAAGAAAGCTAACCAGTGCGGGAGGACGAGGCTGCGGGTGATGGGAACCGTAGTCCAATGCGGGCTGCGGGTGATAGGAACCGTAGTCCAATACACAATAGGGCGCCAAGTGGGGGAAGGCCGGCCTGAGAAAGCCGAAGAGAAGAAAGCTAACCAGTGCGGGAGGACGAGGCTCTCTGGACTTACTCGGCAGAGACGGAGCTGGGCACTCCCCGGTTGCATCCTCTCGGGGTTCCCACTCCTCGCTGGGTCACTGCTGGTCCCCGAACCTAGGACTACGGGCTTTCCGTTCAGTAGAAGTCCTTCCCGAGGCTGCTCCCAAGGACTCAGGCGGAGGAAGTCCGGCTCTCCGCAGGAAGGAACCGAGCCGGCTACTAGCTGAGCCGCAGACACCTCTGACATTTCCGGCTCCGCGCCGTCGCTCTCGGCCGCGGTTCGTCCCTCGCGCGCGAGGAAGCCTGGGAAAACATATCCACGTTGCCGAAACCTACCACAACTACATCACTGCCTTTAAAAGGGGGAAACTACAATATCCAGGAGACATCGCGTTTGGCTACGCGCTTGCGCAGGAGCAGGGTTGGCGGCCCGCCATGGTTACGAGTGGACTACAGTATCCAAGAGGCATTGCGAAAGCCAAGCTTCCTTTGTTTACCTAACCGATTCAAGGTAGTGAATAAGTTAGGCACGGGTCTCTGTGGAAGGAATCAAACGATGCTGTGGCAAAGGGTCGACACCGACTCGATGGTGCCTAGTCAATCAATCAGAGAACGTACATTGTGACTCCATTAACACTTTTGTAATTACTAATCTCTGATTTATGAAGGTTGCAATCTTATACCCATGTGGGATCGTTCTGGTTTACGATTCAGTGGACAAACGTAACATTGCAGTGTTAAGGTTTGATTTAAACCGGCGTTTTTCAAACTTGGCGACATCCTAAAGTTTAAATTGGTTTAAATACTTTACATGAAATGCTGTACTAATTGCTGAATTTTATTTGCAATTAATAGTAAATGTTTTAGAGATGCTACATTTTATAAAAGTTACAAATTTATTACCGATACATTTCTCCCAAATCGCACTTTCCCGGAATTGGAAAAGAGTAGAAGGAAACAATTATTCTTAATAATATATATGGACGTTTCTTCGGTAATCGAAGAAGGCGTTGCCGCGGAATACTGTACTGTGCATGAGAAATGTTTCCACTGCAAAGTACTACAACTCCCGAGAGCCACTGCGAGGTCTAGAAGAACGTTAGCCCGGGCGGATCGAGCGCGCGAGGTTCTTTTGCTGGATTTCCGGAGCTGCGGCAAATTTAACTAGATCAACAAAACTAAGCAAGGCAAGGCGCGGGAAAGTAAAAGCCGAGGGATCGGAGATCCCCATTCTTCATGCATCACACTTTTGAGCATCATGCACAGGTAAAGATAAATGGATGCAGCCGGGTAGGAGGATGCGAAGAAAAGATAAGGAGCGGCGGGATTGGCTTGCGGGTTGTTTGGTGTTTCAGATAAATGTTGCATTCAGCAATCGGACATGTACTTTTCAGATTATAACTGCATATCTATTTACTGCAGAGGATCCCCCAAGGAATATGCATAATAAATATTTGGATAATAAATGCAAAGAAGTTAGGAAAGTTAGGGTACTGGCACAGTCTCCTTATGAACAGCTGCACAGGTGGATACGTGTACTAGCACATGGATTTGAACAAACTGCAGGTGTGCATATGGATTAAATATAGGTCTTTCTTTGTCTTCGAATCCAATTGAAAATATATGTACTAATGGGAAATAATCTCATAGTATTATAACGGTATTGCTAAACAGCATTTGGAATGCTATATTGAATGCAAAAGTACTTTATACCAAAGGTTGTTGCATCTATGTACAATGACGCAACATGCCATTTAGATATTTTCAAGAGTTCCACCGAGAGCAACTTGGACATCAACCTGTCCATTGATTTTCTTGTCAACAGGATAGGAGGGTTTGTAGTTGCCATCCTCTGTATTGTCCTCTACATAGATAATCTTCAACCACAATTGAACACAAAATTTCTGTGGCTAAGCAAGACAAGTGAATTTTGCCCCATTTTGAGACTTTTCCTGTCACCGTTAAGTGAATCACTGCAATTGTTAAATTAGTAATATAATTATTAAGTGAATCTGGCTTCTCCATTCACTTTACTTATCAGAAGGTTGCAAAAGGTAATCACATGACCCTGGGACACTGCAACTGTCATAAATATGAGTGAGTTGCCAAGTGTCTGAATTTTGATCATGTGACCATGGAGATGCTGCAATGGTCGTGTGAAAAAAGGTCTTTTTTCAGCCCATTGTAACTTTGAATGGTCACTAAATGAATAAATGTAAGTCAAAGACTATCTCTAGTCTTCTCTTGAACCAGGTGTTTTATTTTTTCATGCCAGGCTTCCATCCATCCAAACAATTTCTGATGATAATTATAACGAGATGTCAGTCTTCCAATCCAATATATCATCCCTCCCTCCCTCCCTATCTAGATATCTATCAATAAAATTTATTGCCTGCCCAATTGATGATATATTTGTGTACTTTACTATTTTAATGGTATTGTTTTGGTTGCAGGAAATCTCCTTGGCCTAATTCATCCATCACACAACAAGCCCTAGTTTATTCAAAAGCCACAGTTATTTTGATTTACTCATAATGTTAAATAATGCATCTGTTTTCTAAGTTATATTGTTTGGCTCCATACAACATGCTGACTTAAAAATAAATTTGAAGTTATAGCACTCACCAAAAAAGGTACTTGCGACCGGATTAAAAGTTCTAACAGCTGCCCCACCCCACCAAGTGATCACATTTTGGGAGCTCAGCAACTGGCCTGCATTTACGGGCGTTTGCAACGGTCCACGCTTGTGACTGCAATTTACAACTTTTCTTTTTGTCAGAAACTGGCATTTACTTCCTCTTTCTGGCAAACAATCACCCTTTGCAAACAGTGACTTCACTTGATAATGTTTGCTTAATGATGCTGCTGTTTGCATTATGACCACCGTGTTTGCTTAATGACAGCTACAAAATAAAATGGGCATGATCATAAGCTGATCTTAATGACCAGAACAACATTTGAGTGTAATTTCAAGATTCAGTTATGGTTGTCAATCAAAAACTAGTAGTAATGTGCATAGTAGTGTATGAAGGCATCCCCGTCAAAAAAGAATAAAGTAAATGTATCTTGAATTTTTAGCTCTCTTCTTCCATAATAATAACGATTCTGAGTCTTAACTACTCCTGTTATTGACATCTGGCTACTTTCTTACTAGGGCAGTGTTTGTTGTACCAATTATGCACTTTTCTGGGAAAACAGCTATTTGCTTTGTAATTCCTAGTACTGGGTCTATTCAAGCAGAACACAGTATCAGCAGGCTAAGTTTCTAGGCTGCTGATCATTTGGGGCATGTCAAACTTGCATGACACACAAGAAATCATTCTTCCTATAGTGATATGCTTATCATTTATTGAAATCTTTGACCAGTTCTGTCAGAATAGAACAGGGGTAGGCAACCTTGGCTCTTTTATGGACTTCAACTCCCAGAATTCCTGAGCCAGCCAGGAGTTGAAGTCCACAAGTCATAAAAGAGCCAAGGTTGCCTACCCGTGGAATAAAGCAATCCCTGGCCTCAGTGGTTTTCTGGAGAAGCAACTATTTCTGCTTCTCACATCATTTTTCAAAGGTGTAATTTCAGGAAGTAAGTTTGTGACATTTTCTGTTCAGCTTAAGTCTCTGTTCTTGTGATGACTGAAGAGCTATTATGGATTGCAGGTAAATGGTAGATGTGGGACTTTGTATCCTTGCAGGAGATATCTTCAGGAAATTCCAGATTTGGGGAGCAACATCACTACAAGTATCCCATGGAGCTGGCATCCCAACAAAACTTCAGATCTCCTCTCAGACACTCTGGGAGTGTCTGCTCTTAAACTGGACAGTGAGAACACCCCCCAGGATCTATTGATGTGTGTGGGTCCACCCACCAAACGGCAGAAAGTGAGGGAAACCAAATTTGTGATTATCCACCAGCCTAGACTGCTTCATGAAACAGTAGCAGGTAAGACCTTCTCTTGCCCCCCCCTCCCTCCCTCCCCAAAAGCTATTCAAAATTCTACCTTAGGATAATGAGACAAACTCTGCACCAAGTGGAAGATCAAACAGATTCCTGACAAACTTAGCAGACAACTTTGTCTCCCCAAAAGTAGAGAAGGGAACTAGGGAATTAGCCATTTTGGATCTAATTCTCACTAATGATAGAAGATGTTAAAGATGAAATGATAGAAGGTGTTAAAGCCACAGGAGCCTTGGGAGATAGTGATCATGCAATATTGCAGTTCAACATTATGGAAGCACAAGCATTAGAACATAGTCAAACTAGAGTCTTGGACTTCAAGAGAGCTAATTTCAATAAACTTAGAGAGGGCTTGGGAAGGATTCCATGGATGAGAATCTTCTTGGGGAAAACAACTCAAGAGGCTTGGGAAATTTTGAAAAGTGAGATAATAAAGGCCCAGTCTAGCACAATACCAACAAAGAGGAAAAATAACAGCTCTCAAAAGAAACCAGCATGGCTGCATAAAGAACTCTCTGATCAATTGAAAGATAAAAAGGACAAGTATAGAAAGTGGAAAGAGGGGCACGTAACTAAATCAGAATATCAACAAATAGCCCAAGCCTGCAAAGATGAAGTGAGGAAAGCCAAGGTTCAAAATGAACTAAGGCTTGCGACCAAAGTCAAAAATAACAAAAAAAGCTTCTTTCAACATGTAAAAAACAAGAAAAAAGTGAAGGAAACGACTGGTCCATTAGTGGGTGAAAGTGGTAAGAAGGTGACAAGCAACAGGGAGAAAGCAGAACTATTTAACTCGTTTTTTGCATCTGTCTTTACACAAAGGGAAAAAACAGACCAACCTATCAAAAATAGTGCCATAAAAAACAGTATAGAAACCCAAGTTAAGAAAGGCAAGAAAATGATAAGTGAGCACCTGTCCAGCCTAGACGAATTCAAATCACCAGGACTAGATGGATTACACCTCAAGGTTCTCAAGGAACTGGCAGATGTGATCTCAGGAGCACTGAGAATTAGATTTTGTATTAGTCACTATTTACATACAAATATATAGGTTGGGAATATTTAAAAAAGCAAGTTAATTTAGTAATTTAATACCCTGGCTAACATTTGACTTTTCCATTGTCTGAAAATCATCTTTCACTCTTACACTAGTTTGCAATCTCACTGTATTTACTTTGAAGTGAGTTACATGGAACTGTGTAAAATTTATTTTTGAAAGCTGTTTTGGATTCTGTTGTATGAGGGTGTGGTTGTAGATTTTTGTTTCAAGTCATTTAGGATCCAAAATAAATAATTGGAAGTCAGTGCTTCAGTTTTTTTTATGAACAAAGATAGACACCCTAAAATAGATTTTTGAAAGCCTGACCATTAAGAGTACAACATTCATGGTGTTAAAACATATACTACTTAAGGATAAATTACTTAAGGATAAAACTACTTAAGAATCACAATACGCAAAAGAAAAACAAACAAGATTAATCAGCCCAAGAAAACTGAAAAAAGTTTTCCCAGTGCTAAAGTAAAATATTGTATGTTAGTCACCAGATAGTTCTCCCATCTGTGGTTGTGAATGGGCTGTTCTTTTTCATTCTCCTCCTATATCTCATCCTGTCAGGACACCACCAATTTAGTGGGCTTCTTATTATTGCTTTGTGGAATCTGTTATGATGGAAATGAGCATCATTAAAGAAGGTTCAAATTTCTTATCCATCTTTTTTTAATAATAGAATGACTTTAACTGACCCACACAATTTCAGACAATCAAGTGCCAGGTGTACTATGCTGAAAGGAAGAAATATAGTGTTCTTTATGAGTTGGAGAAATCTAGTTGGATTTCCAATCCAAAAGATGTTGGAAAAATTTGCTTATCAGCCAATGGACCAGTTAAAGCAATTCTCAATCTTGATATGTGTGGACTTCAACTCTCAGAATTCCGTTCCAGAATGTGGAAGTCCATACGTCTTAAAGCGTCAAGATTGAGAAACACTCACGTTAAAACTTCATAACAATTCTTTCCTCTCGTCCCCAAAAGGTGTTTCTTGGGATACTTTGCCAGATGAACTGCTGTTGGGAATCTTTTCCTATCTAAACTTGACTGATTTGCTGAAAGTTTCCCAGGTTTGTCAGAGATGGCATCGCCTTTCGTAAGTGGCTGTCAATTTCTAAATAAAAGTATATATATAAATATATAAAATAATTTTCTTTGTACTGTTTGCTGACTTGGTTTCCATTGAGCATTGATATGATTTGTTAATTTCAGTAGGAATTCAGTGAGCTTCATTTGTCACATGTGAGGCAACAAAAACAATAGCATGATATCGAGATGGAATTTTAACTGCGTGCTGTACAATTGTTGCAATATTTTCCATCTAGATCTGAACAGATCTATCACTTTGGCTCTTGCTCTGTTTTTAAATGAAGTTCTGTGCAGATTTTGCCCAACACACACAATATTTATTCACTTTTCATACTGTCAATAAATCTTGACACCATTGTTTCTCATATATGCATTAATATATGTATGTGCAATATGTACAGATAATCCTAAACTTAAGACCACAATTGGGATCAGAATTTCCATTGCTAAGCAAGGTGATTAAGTGAATCATGGCTAATTTTTATGACACTTTTGACACAGTTGTTAAGGGAATCACAGTCATTAAGTGAATCTGGTTTTCCCCCTTGACTTTGCTTGTTGGAAATTGGCTGGGAAGGCCACAAACGATGATCACATGGCTGGGATGGGATGCTGCAACCCTCGTAAATACATGCTGGTTGCCAAGCGTCCCAAGGTTGACTACGTGACAGTGGGATGCTGCTATGGTCATAATTGCAAGGACCAGTTGTAAGTCATTCTTTCAGTGCTGCTGTAACTTTGACTGGTCATTAAACAAATGGCTGCAAGTCAACAACTACCTTTATGTATATGTGTATGTCTCCATCCCCATGGTCACGTGATCAAAGTATAGACTCTTGGAAACTGATTCATATCCATAACAGTTGCAATATCCTGGGGTCAGTGTGATCACCTTTTGTAACCTTCTGATGAGCAAAGTTAGTGGGGAAGCTGGATTCACTTAACAACCGTGTTACTAACATCTGCAGTAATTCACTTAACAACTGTAGGAAGAAAGGTCGTAAAGGATAAAATGCCCAGACATATGTTCAAGTAATGTCTAAGAAACAGAAATTTTGGCTCAATTGTGGTCGTAAGTCGAGGATTACCTGTATATAAATACTACACATTGTAATATGCAAAAGCACCATCTAAATAAAATCTCCAAGGCTCTAAAAGGTCTGGATAACATGACAAGGCAGTCCTTCAAATAATAGAGTGTTTTCTCTAACATAGGAAAACTGGCCCTTCTTTTTAGCTTGCCAGATGTGTTTGGAACATAAAGCCTTCTGTTTAGGACCCCACAATTAATAAAAAATGTACCAGCATTATATAAAAAACCAAGACTTCAAAGGCCTATTTACAAAATACTTAACATTTAAAATTTAACACTTCCAAAAAACTGATGGAGTGTGCTAGTATTAAACAAAACATTGTAGATAGAGAAATGGAGTAGTTCTTACTCAGAAGTAAATGGATTTTTAAATTTAAAAAATGAAGAAATCTTGTGTATGCTAATATTTCATAAAGAATATATTGCAAAAGAGAATACAGTATATTGTAGGTGTAAGTATTATTTGTCAATCTCCTTTTCTACTTTCAAATTTACCTGCTAACTTTGAAGTTCTCTATTCTTGTAAAGAAATAAATTGGACTTCTTTCTTGAAGCCACTTGACCAGTACTAATTGTCCAAAGAAGGAGGAAACATTTCTGAGAAATGAGGGGCTGATCTTACAGTTTCTCAGTTATCCTTCGGTTATTTTCCAAAAGTTTGGCTAATGTTTGTAACAGTGCACAAAAAGGAAAACTCATTGCTTATAGAGAATTTTTTCCCACAACTCTGCTGTAGCTATAACCAACCTGGAAAACATAAGCATTCTTACTTACTTCTGATCACATGTGCATAATTTCTAATATTGTATAATAATATACAGTATTGTATAATATTGTATAATAATCTGCTAATGACAACCTGAGTTGTGCTAGTATTTTTGCTTCAATTGCTGATAAATTAATTTCTTTTTCTTTTATTTTCTTTTTTAAGGTTAGATGAATCGCTCTGGCAAACTCTTGATCTTGCAGGTAAAAATCTTTTGCCAGGAGTGATTGGCCAATTGTTGCCCTTGGGAGTGATTGCCTTCCGCTGTCCAAGGTCCTGTATTGGGACCCCTTTGTTTAAAACAAGCAGGTAAATGCTGCACTGAAATAAGATGATACCCTTTATTTTGACAGTTTCATCCCTGTCTATGGTCTGTTTTGCAAAAAGAAAAGCAAGATTTTCAAGTGGACTAGCTGGACTTTGGCACTGGATATCAGTGCAGTGCAATGTGTGAATAGACAATTTTTTTGGGCTGAGAACAAAAGTTTTTCATCCTAGTAGAGTTGTCTATTGAAAAGACAGCTGTCATGATGGACATGGTTTTGGGCGATTTTGCTTTCTTATATACAGGTAGTCTTTGATTTATGACCAGAATTGAGCCCAGAATTATGATGGTAAGTCATTGCAGTCATAAGTTGGGGTATCCATTGACCAGAAGTAATTTCCCAACTTTTTTCATGGTGGTCATTAAGAAAATGCCATGGTTGTTAAGCAAAGACTGTGGTCAGTAAGTGAAACCGTTCATTTGAATAGGGTTTTTTTTTTTTTTGCTGGAAACTGGAAAAAATGCCAGCAACTGGTTAAAAAAAAAAAACATTGCGAATCACAGTCATGTGATTGTGGAACATAAAGCTGGCTCCCCTGACATGTGATCACATGACTGGGAGATGGTGGAGCAACCATTTGTGACAGCTGGGAAGGTTCTTTACAGGCCATAAAGTACCCTTCCCTGACTGTTGTAACTTTGAATGGTCATAAAATGATTGGTCATTAAGTAAGGACTGCCTGTAATTAAATATTAAACAATATTTTTAAAAGTCAGGTTTGGGGTCACCTTGGTCTCTGAATAGGCTGTTGTCTTCTAGTTGGACGATATGTGTTTGGCTTCATTACAGAGCAGGGGTTTTCAAACTTGGCCCTTGTATGACTTGTGGACTTCAAGTCCCAGAATTCCTCAGCCAGGCAAGGGCCAAGTTTGAAGACCCCTGTTATAGAGTCTCATTTCAGATCACAAACTTTATAATTCATCAAGTTTGCTATGTAGCTTTAAAAAATGATTGGTTCCTTCCTTCCTTCCTTCCTTCCTTCCTTCCTTCCTTCCTTCCTTCCTTCCTTCCTTCCTTCCTTCCTTCCTTCCTTCCTTCCTTCCTTCCTTCCTTCCTTCCTTCCTTCTCCTCCCTCCCTCCCTCCCTCCCTCCCTTTCTTTTATGGGAAGTAAATATTATGTATGGATGCTATGTTTGATTTTGTGAATATTCAACACAATGCTTTTAAAGGTTCTAAATTAAGACAGAGAGCGTTTAGAAGAGAGTAATGCAAATGGTGCAGGGAGTTCAGGTTGTATCCTATGAGGAACTTGGGAGGTTTAGAATAAAGAAAGTGATAGGAGTCATGATATTCTTACTCAAGTATATAAAGCTACAGGGAAGACAGTGAGAGCTCTTTTCCATAACCAGAAGTCCAAAAATAACAAGTGTAAGTTGCACCTTCCTAGAGTTTGTTTCAATATAGGCAAAAGAAAAAAGTCTTGACAGAAATCTCTAAACTATCTTTGTATATGAACTGTAGATTCTCCCTCTGGAGGGTTTAAGACTCAGAGATGGTTTCATTGGTTTTCTTCTACATTTCAGGACACTGGACTAGTCCTGGAATTACTATTTATTTAATGACCAAAGTTAACAATGGTACTGAAAAAAACTTGTGATCTGTTCTCACACTCATTGCAGCATTCCCACAGCCACATGATCAAATGTTGGGTGCTTGACAACCAGCATGTATTTACAATGGTTGCAGTGTCCCACAATCCCAAGATTGTCATTTGCAATTCCGAAGGAGTTTCTGACAAGCAAAGTCAATATGGAAGCCAGAGTCACTTAACAAGCAAATGATTCGCTTAACAATTGTGGCAAAAAGGTTGTAAAATAGAGCACAACTCACTTAACAATTGCCTTGCTTAGCAATGGAAATTTTGGGCTCAATTGCGCTCGTACATTGAGGACTACCTATACATCATCTTGGTGGTCTCCTTAAACTATACAGTTCAACAATTCTATGATGTTGCTAGTGCTGTTTTTTTTTTTAAAAAAAAGAATTGCATTCCACTGTTTTCCTTATGCCCTTGTTTGTCTCTTTCTTAGGGCTCTGTGTGTGCAACATCTGGATTTATCAAATTGTACAATAAAGGTTATAGATCTTGAGAGTATCCTTGGTAGATGCCAGAATCTGCAGAATCTCAGCTTAGAAGGTCTCATACTTTCTTCTGATATAGTTAGGTGAGTGATTAAAAATGTGCTAATTTTTGATGCTGACTTCAGGAAGAGAAAGTTGTAACAAATCCTTGACAAAGTCCTTGCTCAATTCACAGATCTGAAGTTCATGTGTTAATGGAGCCTCATTGTTCTGATTGCTATGATTGTTTCTCTAGGGCAGTGTTTCTCAACCTTGACCATTTTAAGGCATGTGGACTTCAACTCCCAGAATTCCACAGCCAGCATTGCTGGCTGTGGAATTCTGGGAGTTGAAGTCCACATGCCTTAAAATGATCAAGGTTGAGAAACACTGCTCTAGGGGCTACTATCCTTTATAATGCTTTGTTATGTTTTTAATTGTTTTTAATTATATTTTGGATGTTGTAAGTTGCCCAGAGTTTTGGGAAGTGGGCTGGTTATTATGAATAATAATAACAATGTAAGGTGGAGGTATGCTAGAGCAGGCTCAAAGACATTGAAAATTCACACAACCATTGAAGATTCTGTGCCACTGAGCTGTAGATCATAGGAAGTATTGGGTTTACCTTCTCATTGGTTGATTTCCTTTCCCTTTGTATCACAGTGATTTAAAAAATGTAAGAAATAAAATAGTCCCCAGCTCATCTCAAGAATCAAAAACTAAGCAATTTTGCATACAGGTAATCCTTGCTTATTGACCACAATTGGGACTGCCAACTCTTACGACCAAGTGATCATTAGATCAGACATCCTGTGACTATGATTTGTGATTTTACTGCCAGTTTCTCCATTGACTCTGCTTGCTGGAAGCTGACTGTGCAGTGTGCAAATGATAATTGCACAACTGGGGGGTGTAAATATCCACCAGTTGCTCCCAAATCTTAATAACATGACTGCGGGAATGTTGACACTCGTATGTGCAAGGTCAGGTCATAAAGTTATTTTTTCAGCACCATTGTTACTTCAGTCACTAAACACAGAAGTCATTAAGTGAGGAGTATCTGTATTCATTTCCTGTGCTGTAGCCTATGCCAAAAAGGCTTTATGAAATCCTTTCTTCTACCTCATTTGTTTCCTTTTCCTTTTCTGTAGAATTGATCTGTCCATTAATCAACTTAACACACTTTTTAGTAGTAGATCAATAATAACTCATTCATCAAAAGCAGTATTTTAAAAATTGCTAATTATTTTGAAGGTAAGAATATAAAAAGGCAGTGAATAAAAGACAGTCTTATACCTGACTTTCTACTTTTTCATTCAGCAAGGGAATGCCTCTTTTAAGATAATGTCTGCCTGCATGAATTATATTACTTTTATTGATATGAAAATGTACGCAGGTTCAGTCAGCTGAGTAACTGAGCTTCTAATTAAATTGATCTTAGGAATCCTTCATAACTGCACCATGCTTAAAAATTCAGACTAAATCTGATTTGGTGTTCCCTTGTAATATACAACTTCTTTCTCCCTTGTTTCTTGCTTCACTCTGTTTTTGGATCCCTTTGCTTCGTAGCATTGGTATTGATTTTGAAGCTGTAGAATTTTTAGAATTATTTTTGTGATTTGTATTTTATTTCAGCTCTAGATCTTTCCTTCCCCACTTCTTCCATAAAGCAGAGGTCCCCAACCCCTGGGCTGCGGACTGGTACCAGTCTGTGGTCTGTTAGGAATCAGGCCACGCAAGGGGCGGGAAAGCATGCAAAGCTTTATTTGCACATGCGCAGGAACAAGGTTGCGTGTGTAAAACCATCCCCCCCCCCGCTGCTGCTGCCAATCTGTGGAGGTTGGAGATTGCTGATGTAAAGGAAATGGATAAAATCTCATTCTTCTTCCCAACAGCTGTTCTATTTTATTAATTCTGTTAACTGCTTGATTTTGTGAAGAGCAGCATAAACATTAAATAAATATTCAGCAAATTCATAACCAGTTTGGCATATTAGAAATAGTTTGGGTACCTTCAGACTCTCTTGCAGTTCTGCCTCCTTATGATCGAACAGATCAGTTTAGCAGTATTTGAACACTCCATTCTATTCTTTCTCTTTCAGAAGTATAGCTCAAAACCCCAACTTGGTCCGGCTAAACTTATCTGGATGTTCTGGATTCTCTGCAGATACCGTGGAAATGTTGTTGAAAAGCTGTCCAAGGTAATATGACTTACATGAGATATTACACTAAATTTAGCACTTGTATTAAACTTTCTAAATTTGGATTTGTCGGTAGAAACTTTAATAACAATCCAAGAGTTCAGATTAGAGGGACAGGTTACTGTGGGGTTGACTGGCCATCTAGGCATTTATACGTTGAGTTGTGCACAGGTGCAAGGAATTCATAAATATGATGCATAATGAAAAATACCTTGGAATAAAAAGGAAGGCACAAGTAGCTAGGTGTGGATGATTGTAAGGGAGACCATAGATTGAGTTTCATGTACTGAATGGGATGGTTATGGAATTTCCTCCAGGTTATTTGCCAATTTTCACTTTTTCTGCAGACTTGGTGCCTCTTTCCTTTCTGTTCAAAAGATTCCCCAAATCTCAGAATAGATTTCAGGGACAGCAGAAGAACTAAAAGATTTAAAAATCCACCACAGTCAAGTTCTGCTAGTAGAACTGTGTTAGGTAGAACAACAAATTTTATACATTAAGAACTGGGTTCACTAATAATAATAATAATAATAATAATAATAATAATAATAATAATAATAATAATAATAATAATAATAGTAAAGTTGGAAGGGACCTTGGAGGTCATCTAGTCCAACCCCCTGCTCGGGCAGGAAACCCTACACCATTTCGGACAAGTGGCTGTCCAGTCTCTTCTTAAAAACTTCCAGTGTTGGAGCATTTACTGCTTCTGGAGGCAGGCTGTTCCACTGATTAATTGTTTTCACTGTCAGGAAGTTTCTCCTTAGTTCTAGGTTGCTTCTCTCCTTGATTAGTTTCCACCCGTTGCTTCTTGTCCTGCCTTCAGGTGCTTTGGAAAATAGCTTGATTCCCTCTTCTTTATGGCAGCCCCTGAGATATTGGAACACGGCTATCATGTCCCCCCTCGTCCTTCTCTTCGTTAAACTAGACATACCCAATTCTAGCAACCGTTCCTTATATGTTTTAGCCTTCAGTCCCCTAATCATCTTTGTTGCTCTTCTCTGTACTCTTTCTAGAGTCTCAACATCTTTTTTACATCGCGGTGACCAAAACTGAATGCAGTATTCCAAGTGTGGCCTTACCAAGGCATTGTAAAGTGGTATTAATATTTCACGTGATCTTGATTCTATCCCTCTGTTAATGCAGCCTAGCACTGTGTTGGCCTTTTTGGCAGCTGCAGCACACTGCTGGCTCATATTTAAGTGATTGTCTACTAGGACTCCGAGGTCCATCTCACAGTTACTACTATTGAGCATGGTGCCACCTATGCTGTACTTGTGCATTTGGTTTTTCTTGCCTAAATGTAGAACCTTGCTTTTTTCACCATTGAATTTCATTTTGTTAGTTAGTGCCCAGTGTTCAAGTCTGTCCAGATCCTTCTGTATCTGGAGCCTGTCTTCTGGAGTGTTGGCTATTCCTGCCAGCTTGGTGTCATCTGCAAATTTGATGAGTTCCCCATCTATCCCTTCATCCAAGTCATTGATGAAGATGTTGAAGAGTACTGGGCCCAGAACAGAGCCCTGGGGCACCCCACTACACACTTCCCTCCATATAGATGCAGTTCCATTGAGAACCACTCACTGAGTACAGCCGGTCAGCCAGCTACGGATCCATCTGGTGGTGATTCTGTCTACCCCACATTTTTCTATCTTATCAAGTAGTAGGTTGTGATCTATTTTATCAAATACCTTACTGAAGTCCAAGTAAATTATGTCCACAGCATTCCTCTGATCCACTAATTTTGTCACTTGGTCAAAGAATGCAATAAGATTTGTCTGGCATGATCTATTTTTGACAAACCCATGTTGGCTTTTAGTAATGACTTTGTTTGCCTCTTGTTAATCTGTAATATTTGTTTGAATTTAGTTTAGCATGTTAATTTGAACCCAGTTATTGTAGGCTGCAGCCACAATTTAGTTCAGTTAATGAAGCCAGCATGGTGGTTTAACAGACCTACACTAAACTATGGCTTAGCATAGTGAGTGAACCAAGGCAAATGTGTTGTGTGAACTATTTTTTCTTTTCCAGTTCTGAATCTACTGGCCTTCAGTGCCATGGGGTGTTTTGTTGGTATAAAAAAATTAAAGTGGAACATTATATGTTTGAATTTCAAATTAGAACACTGAAAGTAGGGTGTGTTTTACATTTGTTATTTTTGTACAATTTCTAGATATTTTGATGCTTTCAAAACTCTCATTTAATACACATTTATTAATCAAATTTATATAGCCGTCCATCTCATGAGAAGTGATTTTGGGTAGCTTAGAATAATTGGTAATTATTTTGAGAATGTATTCCTTCTCAATTTATACGTAGGTTAGAAGAATTGAATTTAGGCTGGTGTGACTTCACAACTGAGCATTTGAAGATCATAGTCAGTCATGCTCCTCCAAAGCTATTGCAGCTGAACCTTAGTGGATACAGGCAGAATCTCCTGATGCCAGGTGAGTTTTGTTTTGAAACAGCAGATTCAAGTAACCAGTTCTTTTGGGATAATTGGGGGGGGGTATTTTTCATTGCAATTGAACAGAAGTTCAATTACACACCCGTTTTTCTCCTTAAAATCTTAAAACCACCTGTTCACTTGTTTTTTTATACTGTGGTTTCTTGACATGCCTCTCAAAGCTGGATATAGAACTTGAGCCAACAAAATTTGCAGAATTCAAACCTGTGCTGAGACTTGGATACTGCTTTAATCCAGCTTCTACCACATTCAGAATAAATAGTATGGTTTACTCTTGGATTCCCACGTATATTGTGCTGATACATTATAACATCCTATGTTTTTGGGAAGAACTTGATGCATATAAAGGCCAGCAACTGCTGATGGCAGCTGTGATTTCTAATTTTTGTGTATATAATAATTTCACTTGAACATAATCACATTGACAAAAACACCATCAGTCAATTGCAAAAGGCAGCTTTACTTGGAATATTTTACATTTCTGTTATTATACCTTTTAACAGCATTAAACAACATCTGCCTATTCTAGGTTCTTAGGAAGGACTCGATAAGAGGACAAAAATTCAAAATCCAGTCTAAATATCTGGCTGACCAACTCTAATTTATTCTGGCTAGCAGGAGCTGCCTGAATTCTGGTCAAAGTCTATTTTGGATCTTTCTAGAGAGGCCAAGAATACAGACGTCGCCTCACAACATTGCAACCATCGTAAATATGAGTCAGTTGCCAAGTGTTTGAATTTTGATCATGTGACCAGGGCGGTGCTGTAACAATCATAAGTGTGAAAAACAATCATAGGCCACTTTTCAGTGCCATTGTAACTTTGAACGGTCACTAAACGAACTGTTACAAGTTGAGAACTATCTGTAGATGTTGTGTTTTCTAGTATGAAAAATTTATTAAATTGTATTAAACTAAAATAGTTTAGTTTAAGTCCTAGTAGAAAATGTACTTTTGACCAAGTAATTTATGACACTGTTGTAAAGTCATATATGGACAATGCCACTGAATAGGTATCAATGGTTATATTTCACTTTTCATTTTCAGATGTTAAAACATTACTAGAGAGATGCCCTGGTCTAATACATTTAGATTTAAGGTAAGCACTGCAATTGAATACTAGTTTGCATCTTTGAAAGCTTTGTGCTTTCAATAAAAAAACAATATGCTAGATTGAATCAGAATGCATCATATGCCTTGTGTAAGCGATATTGGAGTACATTTAAGTGTCTAAATCTGTATTAAAAGTATACTCAATTACCCATTGCTCAACTGTAAATAAATCTTGTGAAACTGAAGCATCCTACTATCTACATCAAGCATATACTCTGAGAATCATTAGGGAGGGGCTGTCTTCACCCTCTTTCTCTCACCCCAAATATCTGAACTGACCTGCCTCTTATACCTCTGGAAGGCCCTCCCTCCCTCTGGGAATCCAGTCTACTACATTCCATCACAAGTACTTAGTTAAGTGCACATCCAGAATTAATATAAGATTTTAAATCGTAAATAAATGAAAAGTAATATTTCCTTAAATACTTTCGTTACAGTGACAGTGTTATGTTGAAGCCTGAATGCTTTGTGTACCTCCAGCAACTCACACGCCTTGAGCACTTAGGTTTTAGTCGATGCTATCAAATACCTCCTGCTGCTTTACTGTAAGTAATTTTTGATATCAAATTGCTTGTTTTTGAAAAGCAAAACAGTGCTTAAATTGAGAGGTAATCCCACAAAAGCTATTCTTCAGTTAGGCCATTGTAGCTGAAAGTTGTACTGTGTAGTGTTTCCTTGTGAATATAAACAATTGTGATAATTTATTGTAGTTTTAAAAAAATGCAGCATGATTATTATAAGCTCTTTCAGCTTTATCCAAGTGGCACTTTTTGTGTTTTGTGATGTGTGGTTATTTATAAGAAAGCATGTTAAAATAAAACCCTGTTCTTGGAATCAACAAATAAGTTTTTCAAGTTTAAGACTTTGAGAGCAGATTCCAGAGAGCTCTTTAAAAATATTCCACGCTGAATTTTCAACATGTGTCTCTATCTGCTTTCTTCCTTTGATCGCTTATTGCATTTTAAATCATTTGATTACTATTTATGACTAGGTCTATTAGTGATCCTTCTTTAAAGGGGGGGGATTTTAATTTCTTCTGCCATTGTGATTGACTCAGTTTCCACCAGAGATTTCCTGAATACCATAAAGTATAACTGAAGGGAGTTTTCCTTTTGTTAAGAAATGGCTTAACTGGAGAATGGTGAACAGTGGCTTATCTGTCCGGTGTACTTTTATAGTACTGTATATATTCAGGCAATCCTCAGCTACAACTATTCATTTAGTAACTGTTCAGAGTTACAATAGCATTGAAAAAGTGACTTACAACCAGTCCTCACATTTATGATTGTTACAGTATCCCCAGGTCATGTGATGAAAATTTGGTTGCTTAGCGTGTATTTATAATAGTTGCAGATTTCTGGGGTCATATGATAACCATTTGTGACCTTCCCAACCAGCTTCCAACAGGCAATCAATGGGGAAAGTTAGATTAGCTTAACGACCATGTGGTTCATTTAAGAACTGATTTGCTTAACAACCATGGCAAAAAAAAAGGTTGACACAACTCACTTAACAATCACTTTGTTTATCAACAGAAATTCTGGTCCCAATTGTGGCTGTAAGTCAAGGACACCTATATCTGTGTAATAAAAATATAATCTGCAATGCTGTTTATATGATGGGGACCCCAAATGGAAATGGAGCTAATCAAGTAGCTAATCTAATTTTTAACGGTTTTATTATATGATGGATCCTTTAAATTTTTAAATGTTATAAACCGTCCTGTAAACTTATGAGTGAGTTGGATGGCTACATAAATTTGTTTAGTAAATACCTTGCTTGTCCCACATCTAAATGGATGTTAGAATGAACACCCTTGCAAATAACTTAGTACTTATAGAATGTACAGAAGTATTAAATTATTACATGGTTTTCAATATGCCCTTGAATTTAGAGAAGAATAGTTAAGTCACTGTTATTCAGAGGTGTGCTGCTAATCATTCAGTACTAAACATATGAAAAATTGCACTGGCTAAATTAAAGGAATTATTTTGTTGTATTTTTCTTTTAGTGAACTTGGTGAAATTGCTACGCTCAAAACGCTGCAGGTTTTTGGAATAGTGACTGCCAATTCCCTACAGCTCTTAAAGGCGACGCTTCCTCATATAAAGTTCAATACCTCCTACTTTACACCTATTGCAAGACCCACCACTGGCTGCAAGAAGAACCAAGAGATCTGGGGGATTCAATGCAGACTGAACTTGAGAAATCCAGCTGGGGTTTGAAAGAACTTGAAAGACTCTGACTTCTACCAACAGCAACGTTGAGTTCCTCAAGTCTTCACTGTGGAATTCTTGCATTCCGTTGTAACCTCACAATTTGCAGTTATTGACCGAGTTTTATCAGTTTATGACCAAATGCTATCAAGTATTTTACGATTTGTATTTTTTTATGTTTTATGTTCCACTACTTTTACTGAGGCCAGTCCAAGAAATGTTAATCATGCACAAATAGTTGCCATATGCAATATGTACACTCTCCTTGTGGAATTTTTTTTTTTAAAAAAGTAGCTCTAGTTAATAAAACTTGTCCAAATGTTCATATTCTCTGTTTTATCCATGACAATTATTGTTGTAGGGTGTAGGGTGTATTTGGGCTGATATACTTAAGATTCTGACTTTTATCTCATAGCTCCTGGAAACAACATCATAGTTTAATTCTGTTTAGATCAAGCCCTGAAATATTTTGTTGTCACATATCTCAATACTAACTGAGTATAACCAACACAGCTGCATGTTGCTAACTGGTATACAGGTATTCCTTACAATGGCATTTGGGACTGGAATTCCCTTACTAAGTGATGTTATTGTAAACCACAATGTCACGCGACTGCATTGCTTAGCAACAGCAACTCCTGCACATCCTATTCCCCCCGTTAAGCGAGGATTGTGGTTTGTTAAGTGAGCACCTTGTGCAACTTCCTGCCAGCTTCCCACAACAAAGTCAGTGGGCTAGTTGGCAGGAAGTGGTAAGTGCCAGGGGGTTCACAAGCAGACTGACTGGCAGGGTAAGTGGCTGCTGCTGGGTGGGACATAGGGCACGGCACAAGCACAGTTAGCCAGCAAAGCATGGTTCAAGTGCAGAGGGGCTGGGGGAAAATCCACAGATGGGCATACTTGCTGGACTAACTTGCGAAAACCCCTGCTGGCTTCCCACAAGTAAATTCAATGGGGAAGCCAGCAGGGAAAGTGCAAATTGCAATCACGTTACTGCTGGACACAACAAGTTGGTTGCCAACTACCTAGATCACAATCACCTGACAGCAGGAGGACTAGGATGGCTGGTCATAACCACCATTTGTTCAACACCATTTTAAGTTTGGACGATGAAGAAGTCATTAATAGAGGACTACCTGTACTTCATACAGAAATGCAAATAAAAAATAAAGGCAGAATACAAATAAATACATCTTAATAAAGCTTTCCCTTTTTCCTGGTTGCACTGCAACATTCATATAATCTGAATAAATTTGTTTAGATATAGTATGAAATCCTGCTATTTTGACCATCTTGACAAAACATTAAAAATAACTATTATAAACAAAACTGTTAAAATGTGTTTTTCAAAGTCTCCATATTTCCCTGCACTCTTGATTTTTTTTGTTGAGAAGGTAGCAAGATAAAAGCATCTAGTTAAATATAACTAAAGTGCCCTTAAAAGGAAAAAAAAAAAAAAAAAAGGAAAATCCAAGGAGCAAAAAATAATTGCAACTTGATTTTTTTTTTCATAAAATAGGATATTAATTTTGCTACATGAAAGATTCAAAGGGGAAATATAATTGCATTAGTTCTAAATGCACTATAATATCTGAGAAATTACGACGTATCCTTTTTCCTACTTCTCTTGTGGCCCTAATAATACAATATTTAAGAAGAAAATTAAGTCCTATTATCTGACTCTGTAAACTGCTTACAGAGAGCTGTAAACAGTGCTTTTTTTCTTTTTTTTTAAAAAAAAGGTGCCGGAACTCACACATGTCAAACAACCCACCTTGCCTACCCTACAAGGTTCCATCCAAAAAAGGTGCCGGAACTCCATTCTGGGCGTTCTATGAGAAAAAAAGCCCTGGCTGTAAAGCACTGTGAAGTGGCATATAAGGCTAAATGCTATTGCTATAAGATTTTATAAAGATATGCACATATTATTTAACATTCTAAAATGTATTTTCTGTTATGACACATGTTAATGACATACAACACAGTTAAAAAAGCAAGAAAAATACATTTATTAATTTACTAATCACAGCATACATTATTTTAAATAAAACAATTTTGGGAAAAGGCATAGTTGTATTGAGTTTAATTTGTGGACATACAATATTTTGACATAGCAATATTTGCTTTTTTAGAAATTTTGGTTTAAAGGCATGTTCTTAAGATAGAATAATTGTTTTAAAGACTCTTGTTTTCAGCCTATTCTCATTTCTGTTATCATAACCAGAAAATCTATAGTTTGTCACTCAATTATTTCTTAGATGCTCATTTTAAAAAAAAGCACATTTGGTACATTTAATTGCATCATTAGGAAGGTCCAGAATGTCAGCAAGTTGAGGGTCAGGAGAAGATTTTCTATAGCGCACAAGCACCTTTCCTTGGCAAGGCATTATGTGCAAATACAGAAACATTTTTATCCTCTCAAAATGTGACTGAAAACAAAAGGTGACCTTTTCAAAATGTACTGAATCTGAATGCTGATTGCCTGCAGTCCACAAGCCATTCTCACTGCTGCCTGACTGGCCAGTAGGGGGGACAGCTAATATGAAGCCCTGGAGGCACATTTGTGGTATAGTCACTGATGGGATATCAGGCAGGTTTGACATTTAGTGTGGATTTTGTATTCCCCTTAAAAAGTCAATTCTTGACCCAGATGGCATGAGCCAGATGATAAGAACACTAAGGTTTTTTTAATGTGGCAGGACTCAAAAAGCCCTCTATGATATCCTCTGCTTTTTCTTTAAAAAGAAAATAGAAAATAGCAAGTACAATTCAAATTTTAGATCACATCATTTCAATCACTTCATTCTCCTTGCACCTTTTTATTGTCTTTTTATCTAACGGACAAAAGTGCTATTTTTAACCCTTCACTGGCATAATTTAAGAAAATGCGACATGAATTTTCAACATGATGATTCATTTGTGATGAGAACACAGTACCATTCAGATATTTAGTAAGTCCTACCAAGAGTTTGCCATCAGCATCTCCTTAGCACTTAATTCTGGCTTTTTTTTTTAAATAAAAGAGACAGCAAGAAAAGTTGCAAAGCAAAGAGTGTCATCTTTACATACTCTTAGCTGCACAGAGTCGTCACAAAAGCAATCTGGGAAATGTGCAATTGCAGCCAAGTGTTTCTTTAGAAATGTCTACACACCTCCACATGAATGCATCTTCATCAGTTTGCCTTCTTGTAAATGACAGACTAAGGTTGTCAAGGCAGGCATTTTGGGAACAGTCACAATCCAAGGCAGATGTTGGCATGGCCTCAACATTCCACATGCTTCCACTGATCTAGAAAAGTTGGGAAACCCACCAGAGAGAATCAAGACTTAGACACAGAGAGTTCAGCATGCTGGGGAAGAAGAAAAACATATTCATGTTAAAACTGCCCGTACTCACAAATTAACAATGTCAACTTTAGAATTTGAAGATCACAAAACAAACAGTGAGTACAATGAACCCATTTTACAACTTCCTTAACTTTAAACTAACAATTACAGAGCGTATCCATCCTGGTTTTATCTCACTCATGTTTTAAAAATATTTCCTTGAAACAAAGTCCATTCATTTCAGCTTCCCAATAGCTAACATCACAGACATGTAAACAGATCTCACACTTTCACTGAAAGGCTTAGAAGCTTTCCATGATAAAAGCCTGACATGTATATTTCAGTGTTCTTTTTTCCATTGTTCCTTTGTCTTCTAAAGGGCTTGTGATCAATTGCAAAACTGATTTTCCATTTTCTTGACTCTTCACATTAAGCCCTGAAGATACAATTTACAATACTTTGTAATTAGAAAAACAACTCATCATTTAGGATCTCAGACTGCAGGTTAATTATCATTTCAAATATAAGCAGCTAATGTAGGGGTCTTCAAACTTGGCCCTTTTATGACTTGTGGACTTCAACTTCCAGAATTCCTCAGCCAGCGTGCCTGAGAAATTCTGGGAGTTAAGTTCACAAATCATAAAAGGGCCAAATTTGAAGACCCCTGAGCTAATGCATTCTGTGATATTTTCGAAATGTCATTAAAACCAGCAAGAATGATTCTTTTTTGTGGCAGCTAATCTGCAAAATATCCTGCTTTAATTAATGTAAACTAAAATACTGCTGAATACTATCTTTGCAAAGACTTCTGCATATAGTAGCTACCTGAAATTAACGAAGGAGAGGAGGTTGGCAGTGGTCATACTTCTGTAATCTGTCAAGTAAAAAGTTAGGAGGGGAATTCAATTCTGTAAGATAAACAGTTTCTACAGATAGAACTAGGAAAGAGTCCAATAAATCTCTCCATTCTGCACCTCCCAGGCACAAAGTTCTTCAGAACTAGGGGAAACTTTTAGAAATGATTTGGGAGGAATGCAAAGGAGAAGATTCTATCCCTGAGTGGAAAAATACTGTTGGACTTGTTTGTATAATATTGGGTTTCATACACATACTGTCAACAAAATGCTCCCTTACCTTGAAACTATTCATGCATATGCTTTACAGACTGCGAAAAGAAGTCATTTTCAATATGCATGAATATTTCTGCACTGGATAGGTAAAGATTATTGTACTCCTAACACAAATGCACAGTTAAATTTTTAAAGGAATGATATTGTGTATTTTTGCGATCTTAGGAACCTACTTAATGGAGCACCTGTCCTTGGGAGTAGAACAAACAATTAAGCTGGCCAACACACAGAGGTATCTTTATTTCCGCTTGTGGTAGGCCTATCCAAAGCTCCACAAGGCCTTGGGGCAGGGTTTCTCAGGAACACAAGAGGAGCCACATGCTTTGAGTCTGTTCTAGAGCCCAATTAAACAAAGCTCTGGATTTTTCAGTATGAAGTTAATTCCAATTAAGTTTACATGCTTGGTGCTCATATGGGATGGGGGAATATTTGGAATTCAGTAGCCAGTTCAATATGATATGAGAAATGCAATGGTAAATAGAAACATGGTTTATAGCAGAAGTATGAACATTAGACTATAATAGGAGACAGTAATGAATTCTATTTCAAACATGCGGAATTTAAAAAATTAAAGTTCTTTCTGAATACAAAAGTATTATTAAAACTTCTTGGCTATCACACTGAAGTATGACCAAACATCTTTAGATTAACTTTGATATTATTTGCTTTAAAAACTGAGGGAGTTCCAAGGTATTTTGCTGAATCAGTAGTACACTATTTCCATTGAAGTTTACAGTTTGATATTAATACCAACTGTATTTGACTCCACCTTCATTTCTGTGGAATCAAGTTTTTAAGGGCTAATAACTTTGTTGGTCTGAGGAATAAACCAATTATATTTCATATTACAAGATGCAATAAATGGCAAAACACTGATTTTTCCAGGAGTTTCTCATTCAGAAGGGATAAAAAGTCATTTCAATCTTTGTTTCCCAAATAGCTGTAAAGAGCTATTTTCACATTTGAATTGATGTAGCTCATTTATTTGTGAAGACTTTGGAATACTCTCAATGATGTCTTCAGTCTTCTAGCAAAACAGTACGCAGTGCATCTTCTGTATTGATTAATATTGATGCTATTGCTCCATCATTAAATTCAAATGAAGTTCCTCCATCTACTACCATACAGGCATCCCAACAACGAGAGCGTATGCAAACTCTGAAAATACATTAAAGAAAAATATTTCTGACATCTGATCAAGTGAATAGTTTCAAATGCATATAATAGAGATTAGAAGCAACACATATTTGATAGAAGTTAAGATGGGATAATATGGTCATTTAATCTGGGGGATGGTATGATGTTGCTAAACTACAGATAGTCCTCGACTTACAAGAGTTAATTTAGTGACCATTTGAAGTTACAACATCACTGAAAAAAGTGACTTGTGGTCATTTTTCACACTTATAATGGTTGCAGCATCCCCATGGTCACATGATCAAAATTCAGAGGCTTGACATCTGACTCGTATTTATGATGGCTGCAGTGTCCCAGGGTCATGTGACCACTGTGTGCAAGCTTTTCACAAGCAAAGTCAATGGGGAAGCCAGATTCACTTAACTGTGTTACTAATTTAACAATTGCAATGATTCACTTAACAACTGTGGCAAAAAAGGTTGTAAAATGGAGGAAAAATTTACTTAAAAATGTCTCGCTTAGCAACAGAAATGTTAGGCTCAATTGCGGTCATAATGGAAAGTCTTCTAGCGAACATCTGGTTTTGTTACAGATAGGAATGCCTAAGAAAAGATTCAGGTTGTGAGGCATCCTTGAGGAGGGAGGATTTCAAAATTCTGTAGCATTACAAAAACAAGCAAGCCTCAAGAAAAATGAGGACCTTACTCAATTATAAAAGAAACTTTTTTCAGAGCGCCCTTTCATCTATTCTGCTGAAATAACACATTTAATTATGGGGTTTTTCCCCCAAACTATGGTAGGAGAAAGTATACATCATTTTCAGTAGATATCTTCATGAAACATTAATTAAAAATGGAATCTTATATTATTGCAGGGGCAGCTTTTGGAAAAAAAAGTATGAAACATACTTTTTCCTGTAAATTGAAAAGAAACACCTAATTAACCAAGATTATAATAATATTTTTACAAAATCTATCATCATTTTAGAGGACATACTTTTTCAAAAACTGTAATTGCTATTAGTTTTGCTTCCATTGGAAGAAATAACCTTTGATGCATTCTTCTTTTGTTTGCTCTCATTTAAGTCAATTATATTTAGCTTTTTGACAAAAAATGCCTGCAAATTTCCTACATACCTTATATTATACAAAGTGATAGAATTTGCTGAATGCACTTTGCATTCAGTTCCAAAAGGGGCATCAATGGGCACAAGAGCACCTGTCTGTAAGCTTTTTAAAGCAGCTAAGTCTTTTCTATGGTTTGTGTAGCTACCTCCTGCAGCTGCCACATGATCCAATAAAAGATGCATCTGCTTTATTTTTAAAAGTTGCAAACAGGTACTACATTTACACTCATGTAAACTCAAAAGTTCTTTTGGTATTGGTCAAAACTACTACCCAACTTTACTGTTTTAACTAATAGTTAATAAAGACAATCAGCTTTGGATTTCCTAATTAAAATTCATATTCTTACATTGTATTCTGTAACCTAGAGATCAACTGAAAACAATTACCTTCCAGATCTGAATCTAAAATAGTTGCTGCTCAAATTATGATTAGATAAACACTTACTATTAATACTTACTTTGAAGCAAAGCCTCGTTGCCGACTACTTGAAAAAACACGGTTTGAAATGGGTTCTCGTATACTAAAAAACAACCTGGGTTCCTCTGGACTATAGAGCAGTGATTCATTATATCCATTTGTTACTGAAAAAGCAGAAGTCAATTAGTTAGGTTCTTTAAGTAGCACACTAAAAGTTAGTGCCCAGATCATCTTTTTTTATATAGCTAAGCTTTTCTGATTTTATGTAACACAGAAAAGACGTGAAAAGCTTGTGGAAATTAACTTGCTTTAAATCTGTTATTTTGCAAGATACTAAATGTTATGTTAGCTTGTCCCCTCAGAGATTTTGGAAGTACGATATATTTGAAGAAGCACTTGGAACTACATTCAATTTATTTGATTTCTATTTACAGATGTAAAAAGGAATCCCTGCAGATTTTATTCCGCTAGTTGTAGCTGACTATAAGGGGCGGTGCTCCTCTCCATTTCAAGGCCATTGAGCCAGGGCTGTCCGAAGACATTTCCATGGTCATGTGGTCAGCATCAATCATGGGGCGCTGTTACCTTCCCACTGTAGTATAATTGCATTTGAACTGTTAGGCTGGCAGGAGCTGGGGAAAAAACGGAAGCTCAGCCCATTGCATCTTGAATCTGAGCTGCTGGCTGCCATCTTGAAGCCCAGCACCGCCCCCCATTTTTACTTACAGATGTGAAAACTTTAAATTAATGTATTATATTAATGCATGTAAGTTAAATGCATAAAATAATATTGATTGCTTCTATAACTCTGAAATAATGACCAAAATTGAAGAACAAAACGAATTGGTAAATCACAATGATTAAACATGCTAAAAGTAGATCTCACCTTTTTGTATTAGTTCCTTGTTCAATGGAAGCTTTAAACTCTCATAACTTTTAGCTATTAAATGAAAATAAAATTGTTCGTTATAGAAAATTATATTTTGCATTTGCTAGATATATTTTGCATTTGCTAGATAACATGTGGCAAAGAACAATACTCAGTTACTCTTACAAAAATAAGAAACAAAATTCTAAGATACTTCTATTTCTGACCAGTATCTGACCAAACAATAAGAGAAATACATACAGTATATACTGCCATTTTTACAGGATAATCTCATCTAAATCAAAAATAAATATATATGTCTGTTACATATAGGAAAATGGGGAAACAATAGGTTCCCCATCCCTAATCAATTTAAATGCAGTTTCCCAAAATTCATCCTTTGTTCTGATTCAAGATTATTTGTTAAGCAAAAAAAAAAAAAGGTCTGGTTTGTTTAACAAAAAATATAATAAAATACAGACTTTATTTTCTAAAGTCAAGTACAGTTCTTTAAAAGCTTTTCAAGTCTTATAAGTGTTCTTCTTCAACTTATTTTCCCTTTCACAGAAATTAGACTCCTATAAGCACAGTTTTAAAAGGGATGCAACTTTTATATCATTTTAGTAGCATTTCAAAGTGGTGTTATCGATGTATAAGTGATAAATATTTAGTCTCTGAAGAAAAACAATGTACTTTTAGACTATGTCTGAACATTTCTTTTCATTGTTTTCAATGATGAGCATGGTATTAGGAACTCACCAATCTTAAGAATTTCTTCCACCGCCTGATTTGCTATTTTGTTGATATTAAAAGACCTAAAAGAGAATTTAAAAAAAAAATAGTACCTAGATCAACTCTAGCTGGGAAGCCTTTCTCCCTATCGCCAGCATTTTTATTACTTTAATTAATATTCATTACTGTTATTTCGAGAAACCAATGTTTGACTTGGAAGCTGAAGAAAAAAGAATAATAAAAACCTTGGCTAATAAAATTTAACAGCAGTTTGAATAAAACAAAAATTCCCAGAACCCACTAGGCGGTTCAACCATACAACAAAGTTTTTGATTTAAAGGCTGGGAAATCCTGGAAACGAACATTCATTTGAATTCTAAAATCATAATGTTCCATAAGGATAGTAATGTATGTATTTTACAAGTACTGAAATATGTTCTTAGTACATAGAAATTTATAATCAAAAATCATTTTGTACTTAAAGGCTAAAATAACAATCCAAAGATTCTTGCACATAGCTATGCAATTAATTGTTGGAGTTCTTTTTATTCTCTGAATAAATATTCTATGATGTATCTGTACCATAAAAGCCTGTTGCAATGTATCTCAAACTTTTTTTTAAAATATTGAAAAAAAATTCCAAAGGATTCTCTAATTCAAAGTCAATCATCTTATACTATTGATAAATGTAAAGTCCTTTTCAATACCAAAGGCTAACCATTTAATTTTATTTACTCAGAGCCAGTAACATGAAGGATATACAATACATATACCATATTGATATTCAAAAATGTACAAGGGTTTTAATTTTTCCTGATTTATAAAAAATATTTTAGTTTTTTTACAAAAAAAATATGTTAAGATATCCAAGCTTTTAGCTTTCCAGAAACTGGTAAAAATGCTTGTGGGGGGGGGGGGTTCTCCAGAAAGCCTTTGGGGACAGGTGTAGAGCTGGCTATCTATCTTCTTATAATTTGATATAAATTATTTAAAAATATATAAAAAGAGGCAATTTGGTGTAGTGCTTAAGACATTGGACTAGGACAGGGATAGGCAGCCTTGGCTCTTTTATGACTCCTGGACTCCAACTCCCAGAATTCCTGAGCCAGCATGGTTGGCTCAGGAATTCTGGGAGTTGAAATCCACGAGTCATAAAAGAGCCAAGGTTCCCTACCCCTGGACTAGGAGATCATGAGTTCTAGTCCTGACTTAGGCACAAAGACAGCTGGATGACCTTGGGCCAGTCACTCTCCCTCAGCCCTAGGAAGGAGTTAAGAGAAAACCTCTTCTGAAAGCTTGCCAAGATAACTGCAGGTTCTTGTCCAGGCAGTTGCCAGGAGTCGATGCAGATTTGAAGGCATATAATTATAATTACTGAATTTCTAAAAAATGTCTTATTGCTATTTTAATCTGTAAACCACCTCATAAATAAGTAAATGAACTCTTGTGATTTAACAAGAGTTAAGTCTGAAATATTTACATTGTTTCAGATTTATATTTTAGTACATTTGTTGGAAAGTGTTTCTGAGTGTTTCTCAGAAAAGTCCCAAACATTATAAAATAAGTTCAACAGAGCTTTTTTTCCCCAAATATTTTTTCTCAAATACATACATGGTGGCATAAAATAGGTAAGGCTTGAAAGAACTCAATAAATATAAACCCTCTGTAACTTACTTCTTATAACAGCGATATCTTACATTGTATCAAAATAAATGTGCTATGTATTATTCCTTTGGGAAGATTTCCACAGATAAGTGATATGATAGAAGCACACTAAACTTACCAAGCTTTTGATCCAGTTCCAGTGCATATATTGAGACCTGAGCTCTTTTGTTTCTCCCATGGACCATCATCAACTGATATTTCATAATAAGAAGCCCTATGAAGGGAGAATTTAAAACTGGGTTTGCAGGACTTATAGTTCACCCTGAATAAGACAGAACACAGCCCGAAATCAGGCATGTACCAGTCTAAAAAGGCTAATTTCAAACATGGCTGAAAATTTTGCTATTTTGAATTTGTATGCAGCAGTTTTAAAAAGCAGATTTTAAAAAATAAAGATATATTTTTGATGGATAGGGGGTTTTAGATCAGTTTTCAAAACTACAGCATGTTGTTAGTACAAGAGCAAGCCATTTTGAAAGCCTTTTAGAATTTTCTAGTAATTTTGTTTGCAATTAGCAAGAAATCTACTAGTACTGAACCCAACAGAAAGACATAGTAGTTTCCCCTCTACATACTTATCCCTATTGTCATTAAAATTCAAAATGAAATTCTGAATTCAGGCAGCAAGTGAGAAAAATCCCCTTGTCCTTCCAATCTGTACAAAACATGTCCTCTTTCAGATCATATTGCTAGCAGAAAAATGCATCTACAAAACAAATTTAACTTGTCAAAACCATTTTTAATTCAGCTTTATCAACTACAACTATTTAGTTTATGATTTCGTGTTTCCTACTATTACATAATATGTTCCAATTCCCTGATCCATGATCTGACATATCTTTGGATCTTCTGATCTACTATTCTACCAAGCACTTCATTCATAGTTCCGTTCCACTTTTAGAATTAAATCATTTTCACAACATTGTTTCCTGCTCCATGTGTATACAATACACTTCTAGGAGGAGCCACATCAAATCCTATGTACTTTCAAAGCAGCCATGCAAGCTTTCCAAAACATGTGGTTGCTTTGGAACTTAATTGAGGTAAGTTTCACTAATACTGGTATAGTTTGAAAAGTGCAACTTTTGAATGTTTTGCATAGCACTAAAATACACTACAGTAAGATAAAAAAGGGTTTCTGTAAATCCTTAAAACAAGATTACTCTTATTTATTTTTATTTCAATATGAAGTTCTACTGGATAATGCCAGAAAAGGCATAGTAATATAGCCCAGCGGAATGGTGATAAAGAAAATAAAAAATCCAATACCAACACATAACATGCATGGTGCAAATTAAGACGCACTAAAGACCAACTAATAATTTTTCTTTCAACAACTCACAATAAAACAAACATGTTAAGACTTCTTGAAAAATATAGCACTGTAACTGCTTTCTCACAGGCTTCAGAAGCAATATCATTTGGATTCAGTAATCAAGTATGAATGCAATTCCATAGATTAATCAGTAAGAAAGCAAAATAATATAAAGATTGATTGTAGAGATTATGAATCAAAGTAGTTTGGAAATGTTTTAATATAAATAAAAGTATTATGTTTACAGGCTATGCCAAACAGTAATGCTTGCAAGTAGATGTTTAGCATACCTGGATGAGAGAGACTCTCCGATAAAGACTTCATTTAATGATCTTACAGGCAAGAGGTGTGGTTCAGAAATCTGAGATCCTGCAATCACGGGCAAATTACATGGGTGAAATATAGGCCAAGCAGATGTCTCTAAAAACACACTCAAACAAGAAAATGTCTCTGAACTAAAATTAAGATGATCCTTATTTTCAGACTTGATATGAAAGCATTCATTTTATACTAACCTGGCTGCATCTGTTCATAGGAGCTCTGCACTTAATAGAAGCATCTGATTTTTATTCTGAATATATTTTCCTACTCTGTTGAGATGGTAAATTAAGAACTGAAAATGATGGTTTAAGTTTGAGTACAATTAATCATTGTACAGTTAATTATCAGAGTTGAATACACTTTTGGAGAAAAACAGTACTCACTTTGATCCTGAAATCTTCCATTAACATGGGCCCTACTATGCTGTTCTTGACTCAGTTGCTGTTCATGTAAATCTACAGGGACTGGGTTAACACCGGTTCCTTCAAGGTACAACCGGATTCGTTGCCTCCATTGCCATCTTTAAAGATGAAGAACACAAAAATTAAAGCAACTGAAATAGATGACATTTTTTCCATGAATCATCACTACAACTGACCCATATAGTATTCAGAACATTATTAACTATTTCATATAAACATTACTTAATTCACAAAGAAATTTAGTTGATGGGAATGAAATTCATATTCTTATTCACAGTCTAAATTATTAATTTCTGAAAGTTCTAGGGCAATTTAACTTCAAGTATCCTAAAGGCAAGATGTTCTTTTTCTGGTTTTCTGATGTTGGAAGAGATGAATTTTCACAACAGTACAAGATGATTTAGTGTGAAATCAAACAATCTAAATATTACACCATCTATTTAAGTAAAAGAAAAATGCAATTATTGCTTTACTACTCCTCAAAATATAGTTAATGATTATATTCCTATTACAAAACTATGACTTGCTGAATTCATTATTTTTGCCAGATCTGTTGTCACATACATATACAATATTTAGAAGATAATCTGTAGGCATGTTACCAAAATATTTAATTATTTTTAAAACTACTGGTTAGCCTCTCTAACAAATATTAAGCAGAGTGATAGTATACCAGCTACCGAAGAATAGCTGGTAGATTTGATAATTATTACACACAATGATCAAGAATTTATTATTATCTTAACAACAGAATTAAATTTCTGGTTAAACTACAGTTTATGATCAGCCTGACCAATATATATATGTATCTTTTTTTAAAAAAAAGCTATTCTGATTATTCTATTTTCTTCTAACATTTATAGAGCCTTCTCTCACGATACTTTTAAAATTAAGGAACTCGGTGAAAAAAAAAAGTGTTTTCTATCCAATTCCCCTTTTTAGAACCTAAGAAATTTGCACTCCATATAGGAAAATATGATGGGTGCTGCCATGTGAAATAGGGAAGGGAAGGAAGTATTCACCATTATTTTCAAGTTTATTCATAATTAAAACCTGTCTTTAACATAACAACATGAATTGTTCCTAGTGAAGATTCCAACCAAACCCATTCCTCCCACCATTTTTCCTGTTCTTACAGGCTTTCAGCATGTTGTGTTCACTAAGCACATTTAGCTTCTTCTGACTGTTGTAAGAGGTATGTGTATTCCATTAGATCTTTGACCATTTTATTCGGTATTTCTGAAACTTGTCATGGCTTTGTTAGACAGATTAGCACCCTTTTATCTTTCAGAGAGTGGTACTGTTACCACTCTCTGTTTAAAAAATAGTGAGTTACATCATTAATTAAGCTTAATTACATTGTTGGCTTACACTGTTGTTCTTTTCTTTTGTGAGGTATAATACAGTGATTTCTCCCAAATTATATTAATTATCATAATTCCTGCCCATTTCTTGACAATATTTTGAATTCATTTAAAAATGACTTCAAAATATGTACATAAGTGCAAATTAAACATTGTTTTGCATTCAATGATTCCTATACTTCTACATGGGAAAAAATAATCATTAGGTTTTATCCCCAATACATATCAATGATACTTAGATAATATTTATCTAAAACCTAAAATTATTTTTAAAGACAAAGGGATTTACGTTAATATTACCTGAATTCACCACTATAAAGTTTCTGCAAAGCATCTGGAAATGAGTGCGTATATCGTACAGGTAAACACAAATGGCCCTCAGATCTGTATATAAAATAACAATGGAAAAATAAGACATTGTATTAGAGAACTCAGTACATTTTTCATGCAAAAATGTATTCCCTCTCACCCATTCTAAAAAAGAAATGTGTAATATAATAATGGATTATATTACTCTAACTAACTGAATTCTCATGCATTTTAATTGGCAAATATGAGGGGCCAACCAATTTATCAACTATTTCACACAGACATGTAGAATACACTAAAGCCCTTTATTTCATAACAATTCTTGTTCATGACTTAAATTTGAATATTTAAATTTAAGCTGTGGACAAAAGCAACAATTGTAAAAAAAAAAACATACCCATCTTGGGTAGAAACATTAAGAAATAAGAAACATTAGCAATGTTTCTTATTCCCAATAGAATGTGAATAAGAAACAGCAAGCAATAGAAATCAAAGGCATGAGATATTTCTAAAAAAAAAAAACAGCAAAATACAGCAATACCACTTAATTCATTATTTCTTTTCATAATGTTTCACCTCTCAGTACTAAAGATGCTACAGAATCCAGAATGAACAGATGCACACTGAATACAAAAGTGAGTGACAAGAAAGAAGTACACAGAATGCAAGGGGTGCAAAATAAAGCATGTTTGAATTCAGGCACCAACTGTATGTCACAAAGTGTTCTGGAGTCAGCATCTTATTTTCCTGCAATTGCATGGCTACTTCCCTCTCCTGTTCTACCCCACTTCTTAAGTATTCCATTCTGACTGCATTCAACTTTCTTTGACATTTCTCTAGACATACTCAACCCCCCTGTTCCATATAGCAAAGTGGATAGAAACATGCTCTTATACAGAAGCAGTTTTGCTTTATTTGACAAATATTCATTCCTTACAAAAAGCCACATTTTTGTAACATCAGCAATTTAGGAAAATACATGTACAACATCTTCAGTGGAATAAGGGAGATGAATACTGCTTGCTCTCTGAGTATATTTTTACTCAGAGCATCCCTTCCTAATTTTTGCTGCAAATATTTGCTTATATGCTATATGTTACGCCAGTGTTTCTCAACCTTGACAATTTTAAGGCATGTGGACTTCATCTCCCAGAATTCCACAGCCAGCCTTGCTGGCTGTGGAATTCTGGGAGTTGAAGTCCACATGCCTTAAAATTGTCAAGGTTGAGAAACACTGTGTTACGCCTTACAGAGGCTCACCATTGCACCAAGCACCCTTTTTTTCCCAATATTACCTATTAATACTTTTCCATACACTTCAGTGGCACCTTATGACATAATTCTTTTCATTTTATTTCATCGTCTTTCCTCACATCCACTTTTCAATCATTGTTTGGAGATTAATTTATCTTCTAATACTTATTCATACAGGATTTTCTCTTCCTGCAGTAGTTGTTCTTCCCCTATCATTTCTTTTACTTCTTTTCCTCTTCCTCCATGTCCACTTTTTCCCAAGGTTCACTCCTGACACTACCAAAGTGAATCAAAGCACCTCATCACCCAAGCATCCTTCACCAATCCTCTTAATTTTTCATCATAAATAACCAACAATTTTACATGTGAATTGATTTCTTTATCATGCTTACATATGAATGGACTTATGCTCAGACCACTTACATCATGTTTCTCTGCATGTATTTGTCAATTGCACAAAATCAGATCATCTTCACTCAGATCTATTACATCACTCCCCCCTTTTTTTTCTTTTGGTTTCATAAATATGTAAAATACGTTTAGGTTTGTTTTTATTCCAACCAAAGTCAACTAAACAAACTCTTTACAAGCAGAGTAAAAAGAAAAAAAAACACGTCTTTTGCTTCGCCTGCGTATGCCATGGTTATCACCATACCGGTACAAAGATATTGGTCTCCAATATCCATCATGGCTTTGATCTATCAAGGCTTTCATGTAATACTTTTAAAAATATAGAGAACCTGAGACTAAATCATCACCTTAATTATATCTATGTCATATGCAGCATTCCCTGCTCATAGTAACAATACTAGTAAATGTTGACACATTTTGGACAAAACATTATAAGGAACTAAAACCCACTTTTGCCTGCAATATTCCATGTTGTTTTATGCAAATTAACATAGAAGCTATTTTACAAACTACCTACTGATCTTCACCTCCCATCAACTCACGATACGTTTTTTTAAAATAGAATAATATTACTGTTTTCAGATTAAATGTTGCTGAATTAAGAGAGCCAGTTTGGTGTAGAGAGAGACCATGAGTCCTGCTTTACACACAAAGCCAGCTATGTGACTTTGGGCCAGACTCTCTCTCAGCCCTAGGAAGAAGGTCATGGCAATTCCATTTGTCAAGAAAAGAATTAAGACTGATTTGAAAGCAACCCTCCCAACTCCACAAATTATAGCTTTAGAGTTTAGAGACAAAGAGTAGTACAAGTATTTAAAAGCAAAGACTTTATAATCTAATGTAGCAACATACAAGAGACAGATTCATTTTGCTTAAAATGAAATGCCATTTTAATATATAATCAATGAGTGACAGTACATTGGATAGCATTAGGTGTACAGCCAGGTGGAAAGTACCACTACTTCAAGATAATCAAATGCTATTATCAAGTAACACTCATTTACTCTTAGAACAATAAGAGGTAAAAGTGAAATTCACCACCATACATCGACTCCAATTATCCCTGTGAACTCTGCAGTGAGGATTCAACTATTATAATGAAAAAAACTACAAAAGTTATAGCATTAAAAGAAGAAAATTTTAAAAAGGCAATAGGGATGATTTTAATCAGAAGACTGCCAAAAGATGACAATGCAATATTTACATTATTATGGACTCGGGATATATAATTCATGAGCTAAAAATGCTAATGAATGCATTTCTAATTAGAGCTATATTAGCAATCAGACTAAAATTTCTTTTGATGCCAACGAATACCAATGTAGTATTAGAATTAGCGTTGGATTTGGATCAGGAAAACAAATATTCTAGCTCATACTTCACCATGGAGTTTATTAGCTATTTGGGGGCCTGTTACTATCTCTCACCTCAATCTATCTTACATACTAATTGTGAAAAAAAAAATGAGAAAAGCAGGATGTAACTCTAATAGGTAAATAAAATACATTGATCCTGGAAATTGTAGAACTTATTTTAGAACATCTGACTTATTTAGGCATATAAATTCAGTTTGGTCTAGCAGTTAAGGCAATAGGATTAGGATTAGCGATAGTTAGGGTTAGTGGTCTAGTAGTTAAGGCACCAAACTAGAAAGCAGAAGACCATGAGTTCTAGTCCTGCCTTAGCCATTAAAGCCAGTTGGGTGACCTTGGGCCAATCATTCTCTTTCAGCCCAACTCACTTACAAAGTTATTGTTGTGGGGAAAATAGGACCAAGAAAGAGTATTGAGTTACTTGTAAAAATAATAAAGGTGCAATACAAATAAATAAATATTTGACATCAAAGATTTTAGAACAGTTACGTTTATGAACCTATAGTTAATACTTTGTACACCTGCAGAACAATTTTGTTTTTTGTTTTTTTCCAGATTAGCATAATACTGCTACTGAATTAAGCTTTGACCATTTGTGTTTCTGAGGACATTTTCATGCAGGTAAAAGGTAAAAAAATGTGGGGAAAAGGTTGAGTATAAGATAATGCACCATAAGTATCTATGGGGCTCAAATTGCTATAATGTGTCATTTATTTATTTGGCTACCCAACCTCATCACAAGATGCCAGCACATCTTAGGCTCACCTATCTGGATCTGTATTTATTCCAATAACAGGTTTTAATTGATCCAGGACCTTACTGGCCGCCAGAAGCATTGTTCCATCACCTAGGAAAAATATATAGTTTGGTATCAGAGCAGGTTTATATATAAAAAAATTAACATTCCAAAATGGAGTATTCGACAAACATCTTAAGGGAAAAAAAGAGACTGATATGTATTGATATGTGCGTCAATGTATTTGAGGGCTGTTAACACATCTTTGAGAGCAGTCACAAAGAGCAGTGATACAGGCTCTCTGGAGAGGATAATTCTTGATTCAGGATTCAGACTCAGTTAAATTGATAATTAATCTTCATTTGGTAAAATATTCTGATGGATGACTGTTAGATTCCCCTGGATAGGGAAGTATGTATCTCATGGTCCTATCAGAGCTCTCAGCAATGTTCCACAGCATAGTATCTTTCTGACTACCTACAAGGTTTGGAAGTCAGAGATATTATTTAGCAATGGCAATAGTAAGAACAATAATCCATTATGACTTCCTTAATATAGTAACTTTTTTTATCAATGGCTGGTTGGGGTAAAATAATAAATTCACCCATAAAATAATATAGTATTAAAATTATACAAAAAAAGTATAAATACAATATCTAGCAAATTCAAATATTCAATTGGAACATAACCTCTCTTTCTGTACTTAATGAAATAACTAGGTCTTTTCTGAAATCCAGAAGTTAAGGATTAAACCAAATGTTTGTTGGGAAGGATTTTTGGAATATTGGAGAAGTTACTGAAAATGCCTTCTTTCAAAAGCTCATCAGATGGCATATTTGTACAGCTGGGACCTAGAAGGAAGTTGACCCTATTTGACTTCTTCACATGGGCAGATAAATTCAGGATGCTCGGATAACCTGGTTCAAAATTACACAGTGACAACCAGCACCCTGGCAACTGGAACCAATTTCCGTTGCTAAGCAATGTGGTCTTAAAGTACAGCTGCATTGTTTAGCACAGTGGTTCTCAACCTGTGGGTTGGGACCCCATTTGGGGTCGAATGACCATTTCACGGGGGTCGCCAAACAACGCAGTCCGCCATTTTTTCCCCCTTTTCCTTAGATGTGCTACTCCCTTTTATTCTATTGGCTTTTGAAAGCCAATAGAATAGACTCTCTTGAATAGAGTCTAATTCTATTGGCTTTCAAAAGCCAATAGGAATTGTCCAGGCTGTCTCTGCCCTGCTGAGCCCGCCAAAAGTCCCATTCTGCAAACGGTGCTGCACCAGTTGAGTAGTCCTCGACTTACGACCGGTTGAGGGTCGCGGCATTAAAAAGGTTGAGAACCACTGGTTTAGCAACAGCAATCCCTGCAGTCCAGTTGCCATGATTAATTGAATCCCCCAGTCATTAAGCAAAGCAACTTCCTGCGGACTTCCCACAACCAAAGTAAGTGGAAAAGTCAACGCAAGTCCCAGGCTGGCAGGCAGGTAAGTAGCTGCTGCTAGATTGGAGAGTACACAAAGCTGTGATAGAGGCACAGTGCAGGCCAGGTGTGCAAAAGATGCAATAAGGATGAGGGAGAATACCCAGGGTTATGGCATAAGTCAGGAATATGTATGAGAGGCCTGACAAGGCAGGGAGAGTGCATGAGGATGTGGCATGAATTGAGAAGTGTGCACAAGGGTGGATGGGAGGCAGATGTTAAAGAGGGTGTGCAAATGACTGGTGCAAGCTGGGAGGGCTAAGAGACAGTATGAAGATGGGGAGACTTATCCCAGAGAGAAGAGCAAAATGTTCAGGGTAATCACACACTAGAACCTCTCAGGATATATCAGTAGGTAAGAAAGTTATAGCTTTAGTTTGGCAATATTCTGTCAATCAGGTATAACAGTGTTTCCCAAACTTGACAATTTTAAGGCATGTGGACTTCAACTCCCAGAATTCCACAGCCAGCAATGCTGGCTGTGGAATTCTGGGAGTTGAAGTCCACATGCTTTAAAATTGTCAAGTTTGGGAAACACTGAGGTATAAGAAAACAAAGGATTGGACTTGATTGGAACTTGCAGTTTCATCAGGGCCTGGCAATTCACCAATGTTTTAGCTTAGACTTACTTGCAGATTGGCAAATCTGGCTTTCTGCAAACGTATTTACTCAAATTTCCAATAACTCAAAATACATTTCCCCACTCACAAGTTAATACCTCCTGCTGCTATAACAGCATCTGCCCACCGGACAGTCTCTTCATCATAGTCTCTTCGTTTTACGAGCTGAACTTCAATCTTCTCATTTCTACAGAGAGATATTGAAAAGCAAGTGATTATTCTGGTTTTCATGGTTAAAAATGCAAAAAGTGAAAATAGTCAATGTCTCCTAGGAAAAAAGGAAGTGAAAAGTAAAGCCTAAATACTGACAAAATTCATATGAACTATTGACAATCTTGTGGAACAGATCAATAATTTACATCAATTATTAGTTCCTTGAAAATATCCAGTTATTACATTCAACTCTCTCACATGTTAAATCCATGTAATCTATGTGTCTGCAAGGATTAAACAAAAGTATTACAATTTTGTTGATGCTTTATTAAGATGAGCCCAATTGGAATCAGAAAAATGTAGGAAGCAGTTTGGTATAGTGGTTAAGGCACTAGGCTAGAAATCAGGATGCCATGAATTCTAGCCTTGCTTTAGCTCTCATCCCTAGCAAGTAACCCATTTCTGAAAAAAACTTGCCAAGAAAACACCAGGAGTCAACACTGACTCAAAAGGACCAAAGAATAACAATAACAACAGATATATCACTATACATAACATGAAACAAAGAGCAAAATTACCTATTAGGACTTCAGATTTTATCTGCAGAAGTGTTTCAAAGCATGCAGGGTCTCAGCAAAGACATTTCTGCTTTAAGATATTGCATTTGCTACATTTGTGTTCTCATCCATTCAGAAGTATCTTTTCATGCTGAATCCAATTTGCTTCTTAGCACTGATATACAGGTAGTCCTTGACTTACAAGTTGCTTAGCGACTGTTTGAAGTTATGACTGACATTCCCAGGGTTTCTTATAACCCAGATTTGAAGTTCTAATGGTCACACACATTCCCGCAGCCATGTGATCACATTTTGGGTGCTTAGTATTGTTTGTTTGCAGTATCCCACAATCATGTGAGCACAGTTGTAAGTCGAGGACAACTTGTGTTACTAGATCAGAGCCATTATGTAATATTTTTAAAATAGGGAATATAAGAATAATGTATAAGTGCTTAGAGCCTCTGCTCACTGACATTATTTCAATTAAAATCAAAATTCTTCATATATACCCTTACCTTAAACTATTTACAATATGTTCCACATTTTTTGTATGAATCCGATGCCGCTCTAATAGACCACTATAATTAGATCCTTTTAATGCAAGCTGTGAAAGAGAAAATTGGCAAAATAAATTGAAATAACACAGGTATTTTAAAAAGCTAGAATGCAAATAATTAGAAACTATTTACTTTTCCACTAATTGAAGCAAGTACACCCATAAAAATATTTTAAAATTAAAAAAACAGTGTAAGAGTTTGCAACACATTACCATTTTAAGCTATAAGCCTACAGACTTGATATATAAACATTAATCATATTAATCAAATTTTATCTTAATGAACTGAACACTATGCCATCTACAAATAGCTGCCTCACATATGACCCTCACTAAGTTTTCCATTTTGCTCAAACTAAGATATGATGGTTAACTTCAAAGCAAGATAGGAAATGAAGCAATGATTTCAAGTAGGCTTCATAGTCTGCTTTTTAGGAAGCTATCATCTACAGCAGTGGTTTTCAACCTGTGGGTCGCGACCCCATTTGGGGTCAAACGACCATTTCACGGGGGTCGCCAAACAAGGCTGTCCGCCATTTTTTCCCCTTTTCTTTGGCCATGCCCCTGGCACCCGGTGATGTATAAGTGGTTGGGGGTCATCACAACATGGGGAACTGTATTATGGGGTCATGGCATTAGAAAGGTTGAGAACCACTGATCTACAGTTTCCCAGTTCAAGATGATTTTTTTGTCTGAATTTTATTTATTTTCTGACTACTTCATTTCTCCTCAGTTTCAGTGAACCTGACACTGCTGTAAATAAACTTTGCATAGAAAAATACAACCTAGAATAATAATGTCAGTTACTTGGATCATCTCCATATTCCAAATGATCAGGCTTTTAATACTAGTATAAAACATTTTTCTTAGAACAGTCTATTAATCTCCTGGATGGATCATACTTAAACACTTCCCACCCTGTAGAGAGGAGTAGTGGATTAAGTCTAAACTTCAGGACATAGTTTTATCATTACAAGGGAATAGTTGCAGTAACTTTTGCATACAAACTTACTATTACCTAGTAACTAGTGCACAAAATCACGTGACCCAATTACATGAATATGGCTACCAACAAATTGGAATAGCTCCAAAAGCTTTCATGGCACTACACACATTTGAGTTATTTCAATCACAGTAACCAAATAGAAAATAGAATTTAAAATGAATTTAGTAAATCAATGAAAATATAGAACAAATGGGAAAGCAGAATCAGACATATTTTTAACAGCACCATTTTAAGCAACCACTTCATTACAATTCTCTACAGCCCTCAAAATTTTGGCTGCATTCTCTGTATTCATTGTCAGACTATTCAGCTGATTGGACATATTTTGAAAGATGCACAGAATTATGTGTATTTGACTGACTAAACTGAAAGAGTATTGTCTGAATATACTCAATGCTGCATGTGTAAAGATAAACTAAATTCTTAATATACAACTTGTATATATTATAAATTCACAGCAAAGTGAGTATATGTCCAGCAAAAAGTTAGAGGAACAATGCTACGTTTCATTTCATTTTAATTAGTCAAGTTAATACAATGATGCATCAAAAAAGGAATTAGAACATCAACTCTTTACAAAATTACTCAATATACCAGATTATAGTTGGTCAGAAATAACAAAAAAGATACATAGTATTTCTATATTAATCCCTGCTCAGAGCAATTCTCAATGAATGCAACTCACATATTACATTGGGAATACTATGTGTGTTATTTACCTCCAGGAATTTTGAAATACCATGTTATTTTTTTTAAAAAAAAAACCAGGACATTAGAAACCTTTAAAATATGTATAGCAGAAGTTTAAAGTAAAAAAACCTTCATGCCAAGTCATAATTAGAACGGCACAACTGCTGCTCTATCTTGGTTTCACAATAAACTCATATGTACATAAATCACATTGCAAATGAACTCCTTATCAGAGCTAACTGAAATGTTCAACTCTGCTCTATTTAAAGACAACACAATTTAATATGAAGTGTTAACCTGTTGTGATTCTAGAGCCTGATGTGTGACATCCTTCAAAAAAATAATTTATTGAAAAGTTGATGTATTTATGGATTTGCTTGTAAATAAGGAATGGTTATAGGAATAAAAGATATGTTTAATTTTATAGAGGTGAAGAGCTACCAAATTTATTTATACTTGTGATGAAGACTAGAAGTAACTTCTTTATATGTTTCTTTTAATTTTTTATTTCATTTTCTTTTTCCTTTTTTCCTTTTTACTCTTTCCTTTCTTTCCGAGTTTACTCGTATTAGTTTTTATCACTGCAATTAATATATATAAATTTCTGCCTGTGTTTATAATATTTTTCTAACTAATCTTCCTTTTGTTTCAAATTCAGGGTCATTTTCATTTAGGGTAAATACAATAAAAAGAAGCAAAAACCATAACAGTGTTGAAATAAGTTATTTAGCAACTATTTTATCACTACTGAATAGACAAAAGTGTTTCAAATGAGTACCAACATTTCTAAATCCTTGGGAAAAGACTGAAATGTTTTGCTGAAATGAATACAAGTGATCAGGAAGCGTTGCTTCCAGAATCAAAGCCTCCTGTGCACATAAGATCAGAATCAGCACAGTGACACCCCTTTAAGGAACTGCCACTGCTGCCATCTGAAAAACAGAGCAAGACTTGAATGATAAGTAAGAGCTTAACAGCCCTATGTTCCATGGACAAAATCTGGCTCTACTCTATTCCCCAACAACAAATCACTGATGATTGTGTGAAAGTACTGCTCTACAGTAAGCCACTTATTCTGGAGAAACTGTTTTGAAGGTTTTTTGGGGGGAGAGGGGAACAGTAGTCTTGCAACTATAAACAATACATCCACATGGCTCTAAAAAAAAACTGCTGCCAAGAAAAAGTCAGCTGAATTGAATGGGGACAGAACTGCAAAAAACAAAAAAAAAAACCAATGACTACCACTGAGCAAAACAAATGCTTTTGGTGGAATATATTTTCTGTCTGTATCCATCCAGTCCACTTCAAAGTATTACAGGATGCACAGGACAGATCTGGGAGATCCAAAAGAACTGAAACTGAATTGTTCTTGAGCTCTTATTTTATATCATTCATATTTTTTTTCTTATATTTTTTCCCACAAGTACAAGGTCTACTTTTTCTGGATGAAACAAATGATGATCCATTGGTTGCTCAGGAATTGACCAACAAGCTTGTCACCTGAGCCAGTCATTGTGGGCTAAGAGAGCAATTGGCCCAAGGTCACCCAGGCAGCTTTCATGCTTAAGGCAAAACAAGTCTCCTGGTTTCTACTCTGGTGCCTTAACCTCTAGAGCAGGGTAGGCAACCTCGGCTCTTTTATGACTCATGGACTTCAACTCCCAGAATTCCTGAATCAGCATAGCTCTAGAGCAAACTGGCTCTCATTTTATTTCATTCATATATTATTTATTTACTTGCTTTACAGTATGCATATAGTTAAAATTAATCAGAATGGCTAACTAAAATTACATTTCAAATAAGTATTTTTTAAAAAGATAATTACAGTAAGCTGAAGAATGAAAACTGAACTAAAGTAGATAACTAAAGTATCTAGCCAAGATTCTTCAGTCTGGTGTACTGGCTGGAAATGATAGAAATTGAAATCAAACACACTTAAAGCTTCTAGATTAGTGAAGACAGAACCAGCCCAAAACATGATTAAAGATTGAACATCTGAAGAATGTAATGTTCCTTGTTACCACTTAACTGGTTACCTTTAGCTCTTCCTTTGCATAATTCTAATACTATGAAATATAATTTCTTTGAAGATATTGGTGGCTAAATGGAATTCATCAACTTAATGCAGAACAAGTATGCCAACTGGTATCAGTCATAGGCGCTATCTCTAATATCAAAGGCTGTGGGTCTCTAAAGGCCAGTTGCTCTGGAACAAGTAAATGTTAGTAAGATAAGATTCTGCTTATAGGAACATAATGACCAACTAGACAGGACTTGAGTTTGATCCTGTGAAAATGTTATAAATGTTGCCAAAATGATTGCAGCATATTGTACAACTCTGAATAGAATTATAAGCCAAACTCATGTGTTTCAACAGTCTTCTCTAAATGACACCTTGTACTACAATCTCAGAATTATTGCATCGATCATCATAACTGAATTCTGAAACCTGGGATTCCAAAACATAAGACTGTACTGTAACATTTGTAGCAAACCAATGGATTGTTTGGAAGTGAGTAGGTGCTATTTCTAACTGATATTTTTGGACAATAAGTAAGAGTTTTCGACCATACCTTAGAATAATAAAGGAACTGGTGCTTCTAGGTCAATAGTTGCTGCTCTGTGTAACTGAGAATAGATAAATTATAGTTGCCTCTTCCCTGAATAATGACATTGTAAGGTCATCTTATTTAAGTACTGGCTACAGTATATTGATTAAAACATAACTTCTTTAACTGTAAATTGTTTAAAGAAAGTGAGTATGTGGGAAAAACACATGTAGTCCAACTTTCTTTCAACCAGTTGCTCAAGGTCTACTGCAGTGGTTCTCAACCTTTTTAATTCCGCGACCCTCAACCGGTCGTAAGTCGAGGACTAAACTGGTCGTAGGTCAATGACTAAACCGGTCGTAAGTCGAGGACTACCCAACCGGTCGTAAGTCGAGGAATTTCCCTGCCTGGGAGCGCCGCACATGCATGGTGCCGCCCCCTGCGCCGGCCGAGGCGTAGCTGGCAAGCAGCAGAGATGGAGCAGGCTGACCACCGGCTGGGCCAACCAGCTGGCCCAGCCCAAGGGAGATAAGGCACCCGCCGGAAAAGGGGGAAAAAATGGCGGACAGCCTTGCTTGGCGACCCCCGTGAAATGTCGATCGACCCAAATGGGGTCGCAACCCATAGGCTGAGAACCGCTGGTCTACTGGATCAGCCTCCATACTCAACCACAAGGCAGTATGATATGAAATAGATTTTTGTTTTATCCCTGTCCTTTCTAATCATATCTAAGTATATATTAAGGCCTATAGAAAAGCAAGATCCGGATGTACTACTGCAAAGAGAACAGATCTTATACCAATGTTGTGATTTACTTTGGTATAATTTTTATAAACTTCTTCAAATGCAACCAATGGACTTGACCAGGGACTGTTTATTTCACGATAATTGAACGTGACTCTAGAATGTTAAACAACAATCCTTGGTTTGCAACTCTTCCTCTCCAAGAACCCACTTTTCTTCCTCCTGGAACTCAAGGCAGCCTCGATAAAAATTTCCAAACTCAAATCAAGCCTTTATTAAAATAGGTGCACGGCGTGCACTCATTATAAAGCCCTTCTTTTTTCCTTCCCCAAGATCCCTGCCATAAAAAAGAGACAGACCAACCAGAGATAAAAGTTCTCTAAAGTTTTCAAGGACCAGGTCTGTAAAACCTTTAAATGCCCCTAAGGCAGCCTTCCTAGCCTGAGGCCGGCCAGGTATGCTGGAGGACGACTCCCTCGTCCTCCCCCCCCCCCACCGCCTGGGACACCTGGGGGGAGAAGCCACCAGAAAGACGCCGCCACACCTGCCTCCCTACCCCGCCTCTAGGCTCCACCATCTCCTTTCCCCGTGGGGAGGACCCACCAGACGCGCCGACGCTTACCAGCTGCTTGAGATCCTCTTCGGAGAGCCCAGCGTAGCGGTACCGCTGCTGCTCGAACTCGTAACGGGTCGTCTTGGCCACCACCACCACCCGGGATGGGCGGAAGCCGCTGCCGGCCTTGGAGGACCAGTTCGGGCGGCCGCCGGAGCCGAGGCACCGCCGCGAAGGAGGAGGAGAGGGAAGGGGAAAGGAGGGCGGCGACGGAGGAGACCCTTCTCCCGCCGGTGCCGGACAACGCAGGGGGAGCCCAGCTGTGGCGGCGGCAGCGAAAGAAGCCGCGGGCTCAGCCAAGCGGACGCGCGGGACTGTGAGCTGCCTCCTTGACGGCGGTTGCCGCCGTAAAGATTTGAGCAAGGCGCGGAGGGTGGCACCGGGATTGCCGCCACTCAGGTAGCTTGGGAGGCAGGTCATAGCCCGGACTCCGGACGGTCCTCCGGGAGCTACCGCCGCTGCCGAAGGCTGCCTACAGTGGCAAGCGAAAGAACGGAGCGGCGACCTTCCCTCACGTTTTTGCGCCTCAACGGCGCAGCTCCTGCTCCCGAGGCGGAGGCGGAGGCGGCGTCCCTACGCTCACACTCGTTCGTGCGTGCCACTTGACACTCGCGCGCACAGGTGGTTGCGTGCGCGCTCGACTAGGGCGCTCCGAATACGCGAGGGGGGAGAGGAACAGCAGGGCACGCTCCGCGCACGCGCGGCTCGAGGATCAGTCCCCACCAACTCTTCCTTTCCCCTCCCATCCGAACATCCCGTTTCTACTCGTCCGCAGCCTGTTGGGAACGTCATTTTGTCTTCTGCGCCTGTGCAGGCGTTGACCAATCGGGAAGGGAAAAGCTGTCTCCTAGATTCAGAAGGAGAGCGCTCTGAAGCGATGGCGCGTCCGCGGCTTTCCCAAAAGAGCCACGCCTTTGCCTCCTGCGCTTTGTGCGCAAGCGGGAGTGTCGCAGCGCTCTTTTAGCGCGTCGGTCGCTCAGCTTTCCGTTCGTTCAGCCCTTTACTGGTGCTGAATTGCACAGCAGTTAGGAAAGAAACTGCGTGAAGTGCAGTCTTAATTCCGGAGGACCCTATTTTTGAGCTCTTGGAGAAAAGCTGAATCTGTGTATGTTGCTCAGACTCATCTAGCTTTATTTGGAGTTTGTTTATGGACCAGTTAAATGCATAGCCTCAACATATTCCTCCTAAGGTAGTTGGTTGCAAAGTAACCAAAAAAACCAGACCACCCCAAGATGAAAACCTGTTTGATTTTTGCGTGAGTCAATTAAAATCCATTTCCACCCCTAATTTAATATTTGCACTCCTATATGGTGCTACCAAGCTCCATGTGGGATGTTCCATTCAAGCATAACAAATTGCTTTTTTAATCTCAGATGAACTCTTGAGTGGGAAGGATTTTTAAAATGATTCCCATTGAAGCTTTGAATTGGAACCTATCCTGGAAGATAACTGGGAGCATAGAGGAGTCCAAAAGTACTTGGTTCTTCAAGAACTCATCAAAAAAAACCTCAAGCACATTTTTAGATTTGCTATATTTTTATTAGTATAGTGTATGCATATAAATCAGGATCTTTTTAATTTCAAGTCACACAGGACATAGATAATACCAATTTTGAATTCTATCGGAATGGAGGAAACTAGTTTATATAGACAATCTGGTCTATGTAATCCAGCATTCTTAGCTTATTCTGATTGATCAGTGGCCCTTTAGGATTTTGGAGATTTTCTGCTGGTTTACTTGGAGTGAGAAATGCAGTTAGTTAGTATTTATATGTGCAATGCATTTGCTTTCCTACAGAATCACGACCCTAACTACTGCATCACTAAAATCACCTCTTTCTTCATTTCACAAATCTGTTTTCCTTTTCAGCCTAGCAAATTTTCTTAAAAGGCATTTGTGCATCAACAGATGATGAGACAGATTTCAAGTACCTGAAACGGGTTAAAACCCATTGTGTTTAGATCTTTTGAGATAACCTGAACCCCTTTGACATATGTGAATTCGGCAATCTATCGCATAGCCATGCTGCTTTTTTTTCCCCCAAAATGGTCCCTTTGGGATCTGCAATAGAATTTTCTTGAAGATTGAAATACATTGACATTCGTTGGTTAGAAAAGGTATTACTGTACCAAACCCTTTCTGATTTTTGGCTACTAGAGTATATTCTCCTCCAGGACCTTGGCAGAGGTATGCTAACTGGATAATCCAATAACCTGTATTACAATATAATACAAATAAGCCAAACTGTCTTACTTTGGAGCAATATTTTCTTTACATTTATATGCTTTCTACTTACTGCAGAAATATTGTTGATGATGCATGCTTATCCAGAAATTTGATAAATTCAAGAAAGCAAGTGCTATACACACTAAACATTAATTCAATAGTCCCATGAGGCTTGTTTAACAGATGGCTCTGATTGGCAACCCTTTGTACTCATTAAAGCAAATTTAAAGTGTCCATTACCAAACTTCAAAAAATTAAGATATAAAATTGATGGCAGATAAATATTGAGTTGCTCCTAATTAGTGCATAATAACAGTGAACCAGAGCCTCATGTGAAAACCTATTTAATTTAAATTTTATGATATAAAATATTTTCTAGTTTGTACACATGTCTACATCTTACAGATTTTGAGGTATTGAAATACTGTCATACATAAAGGTCAAATACAATAATGCAGCGGAAAGGAAACATAGGTTGATGTTAAATCATTGTAATTAATATAAAATGTGCATATGTTAAAATTAAAAGAGTAAAGTGTAAAGTCAAGATTCATTTTAGATTCATTTATGATCAAATAAATTTGGTAAATATGCAGTAAGGAAGAAAAGGTAGATGATCCACTAAGATTAAAAGCCAATAAATATAGGAAATTTTATTTCTTGCTTATTCAGTGTATAATAATATCTAAAGTCTTTATATGAAATACATATATATATAAGAAAGAATACACTTTAGGTGTTTTAAAATCTACATGATATTGCAGTAACAATATTAAATAGTATATTATATAAAACACAAGAATATAAAGGATAAATTCCATTGATCCTAGCAAAGTTATATGCTCTCTTCATCATACTGTTTTTCGCATTTAATAAAATAGGAATAATAAAATATTTGTATTTACAGGCAACAGAAATAGCTTATTGGTACATCCTTCAATAGCTAAAATTATTTTTAATAATTTCAACATATATCTGAAAATCTTTTAAAATCTGTTAGATCCAATGTAGATCACAATACACATTTTATGCTTAAAGATTTACATCATTATTATTATATATCCTGCTTTTTCTCAGAGAGCTCAAGGGGGCTTGCAAGGGATATCTCTTAATTTTATCTCCACAGTAACCCTGCAGGATGGGATGATGTCACATAGATTTATTAGCGCAATGTTACTGAGTAAATACCATAATTTAAATCTGGGTCTCCCAAGTCCAACCCTTTAATCACAACACTACTCATCTTAAAGTGCAAAATGTGGAACTTTTAAACTTTTCTGTCTTTGAATAGTAAGCCAATGTGCTACTTTTAAAAACAGAACACTTTCATTTTAAAAACAATGCAAGACCATCAGAACAACATTGTCCACAGTATTTTGGATCCTGCAGTCTGTAATTCAAAGATTACACAGGATACTGATTGTTACTATATTTCCTCCCATGGAAACAATGCTATTATGTGAATTTCAGAAAAAGAGGACATCATCATCACCTTATTAGGAATTATAGTTAGCAGCAATGAAACTTACACCTTTGACAGTGCATCGTTATAACTGAAGCAGCTGAAATTTGTAACTTCACTATGTTTTTAGAACATTTATTTTAAGACATTTCGCTGGACCTTGAATTGGACTAGATTATAGTGGAGCAATAGATCAAAGAAAAAGACAATCAGTAGGACTCATTCTCAGTATGATCAGTTGCTAAATAATTGACTGTTGCACTTTACAAACAGATAAGCAGTATTTAATAACTTACCCATTTGGTAATGTGTTCAAACTTTGATCTGGAACTTGCTTGCTTATTATGGGTACATTTGTAACTTATATGGATGACAAAAAAATATGAGAATTGAAGTCCAGTACATTTAGAGCATTGTTTTCAAACTTCTGGAAAAAATCTGGGAGTTAAAGGCCACACATCTGAAATGTGCCAAGTTTGAAAAAATGATTTAGAGGAGGGTAGGTTGAAAAAAGTTGATTTAAGCTTTAGTACACAGACCTTTTTGTATCCAGGGACTTTAAAAAACAAAACAAAAACTGTTCAGCTTCCAAGGATGGCAGGGTTATAACAAAGATTTCCCTGGAAGAAGCCCTTTTTAAACTTTCTTTTATGTTGGTGGGTTGGTAAAGGAGGTGCCTCCAACTTAATGCATCTATTTTATATTTAAAAAAAACAAGAAACTTGTTAGTGTCATCCTAGAAGCAGACTATCGCTGTTCTTTTAGTAGAAAGTGCATAGTTGTAAGATCTGACAAATTCCATCAATAGGTTCTCAATTTATTTTTACAGTCTGATGACGCTATTCTTTATTAGCTGGAGATTATAAATGGAGTTGAGTCCTTTCAGAAACTTAAGTTATTTCATTGTTGCCAAACATGATCATTGTCACAGAGTTGTCTATCAAATATTTCATTAGTTTAACTGTACAATATCTTTAAATGTAAATGGGAACAACAGTGTCCATGGGATCCAAGTGGGCAGACTGACCAAAGCATCATTATGAAGTTGTGATACAAGCTCTGCCCTTTTTCTGCCTGCACTGTGATGCCTGGCATGCAAAATTGCGGTATGATGCTATAATGCTGCCTTTAACATTCCAGTGAAAAGCAGCAAAATCCCAGAGAGACCACTGATTAACAGACCTTCGGTAGTTTTAGTGGAATTATATCTACTTTTGATGGAATTATATCTAGTTATGAGATCCCATTTTTAAAGCACTTATTTTTTGTAATCTGCTGTAACGTTGTAACCTTAACAAGGGGAACGTTCAGATACGATGAAGAAGCTATTTTGCAAACAAGTTATCCTAGGTATCCCGAAGTATCTCTTCTGAATGAATCCAAAATGCTGCTCTTGGCCATAAAAATTTATGAATTTTCTGAACTAATTTAGCTTCAGCAGATGGCAGCCCTTTCTGCCAGATCAGCCCTGGTCCATATTTGGACGGGGCACCAACAGAGGATTCTGGGGCTGTTGGCTAGACTGGGAAATTGGAAAACAAATAGCAAATTACTTCCATAATATTGCCAAGAAAGCTGCATGGATGCATTCACCAAGAGCCAAGTTCAACCCAAGAGCACTTTATGGACATTTAGGCAGATTTGTACAATTTTGTGCCAGCAATTTTTAGATCTGGAGAAAATTGGGCATCACAGATTATTAAAGGATTCACAATAGTCCTCATTTGCCTAATACAGGGGTAGACAACCTTGGCTCTTTTATGACTCGTGGACTTCAACTCCCAGAATTCCTGAGCCAGCCGTGCTGAGGGGAAAGGGAGAGGTTTCCAAGCTGAGCCATGCTGGCTCAGGAATTCTGGGAGTTGAAGTTCACAAGTTATAAAAGAGCTAAGGTTGCCTACCCCTGGTCTAGCACATACATCTCTTAGCAAGAAGAGAAGGGAGAGATAAGATATACGTATCTAGTATTCAGGCATTACATCTTGGACAAAAAACCCAAGCTGGAGGCTAAATAACATAAGCATGTTCCTTTCAAGAA